ACAGCACTTTGCAAGTGTGGTGGAAGCTGCCAAAATCTCGAATGATCATCATTGCAGTGATCATTTCCACATGGGGGAACGTCTAACAGATCACCACTACTTCCCAGTATGTTTATGAACAAAAAATGAAGAGTTGTATAATTTCGGCCATATTTCGAACCACTATACTTCATGTTTTATTGTGGTGGCCATTTTGGGTTTTTGACTTGTAATGATTATCAAGTGATGTCACACGTCAAGAAAATGTTGTTTAAGTGCAGGATGAGTAAAGAGAACCTCCAAAGAACAGATTTTAAATTGTGTTTTGCTTACAATATATACAAACATACAGAAATATATGCTGAGATATAGCGCGTGGCAGCCATTTTGAAATTATGCAAATTAGGTACCCTTCCCAAACTATTTTTAGGTGTCACCCCTTCTAGAATATCTTTCTTAGGCTCATAGAATGTGCATGCCAAATTTGGTGCTTTGGACCAGTCGGTCACGATTCCAACCATAAGCTACCTGACTATATATTGGCCCGTATTGTTCCCAAGAGCCAGTAGCTACAGAGTTGGGTTCAAACAGTTCATGAAGGGGTGGTTTGGAAGAGAGAAATACTCTTCCCACAAATTTTGTATTGAAATAGAAGTTCATTTTAACTGTACATCAAATGACAAGGATGTCAGTTATATAAAACAAATATTGAGTGGCTTTAAATTGTGAAATGGGAAGAATCTTATCGCTCAGTTAAATCTAGACTTTTCCAGTTCACTTGGCTTCGCCTCGTAAAATAGAGAAGTCCAGATTTTACCTTGCGATAATATTCCTCCCATTCCACTCTGAGCCACTCAATATTACTATTGCAGTAGGATTTCAGGAAAAACAACTCTTTGTAATACTTAAAGGGAATATAGGCGCCTACAAACATTTGCAAACATCAAAAAACAAAACTACCAAATCATCCTGAAATATACTGGACTGTTAGTGTAATAGTGAATGACAGTCTAAAACATCCTTTAAAATCATGGCACCTGCACCCGATTTCACGAAGCGCTGCGACGCGTCGCAACTCGAGTTACGACGTGTAACACGTCGCAACTCGCGACGTGTCGTATCTTCCATTTCACGAAAGTTGCGATGTGTTGAACGCGTCGTAAGTTCCTTGACAACGGCTTAAAACACGTCGCAAGTTAAGACGTGTCTAGTGTATCGCAAAATAGGAAGAGTAATTTCTAAGCCAGATTATAATATCAAGGCGATGTGTGTAAAGTTGTAAATGGAAAATTCATTGAATAATTATGAATTAGACCGGAATATTAGAGTTGAAATTTCAAAGTAGCTACACAGTCCACTGAGAGCTTGTTTTCCTTCAAAATTGCATCGCACAACCGCCATTTTGTTTTACCTTTCAACAAATTTCGATGCATCGTAAGTTACGAAGAGTTTCGATGCTGACCGGCTATTCAGAGCGCACTGCGCGCGTATTTTGAAGACTGCACGCCCTATATCTGCTCGCACCTCATCTCCTGCACGTCACATCACGTACAATTTTTTTTTTCAAATCTACACGATGCCTGTACGATATGGATTATGGAAGCGTTGTTTTTGCCCCCCAAAACCTGTATCTTGCGTTGTAAAGGTACCGGTACGACAGAATTACGTACAGTACAGTTAGTACAAATCCTTGCTAAATAACGCAACGTCGAAATATCATGTTTGAAAGGATTGATTCTTCAAAAAAAAAACATTTTAAACACTACGTTAGGCCAAAAAAAAAATAAGTCGGTCTCTGGTCAGCGCGCCCGTCGATTTTAATCATGCGCGTCGATCTTTTTTTTTTCCAAAATGTTCCGCGGTAGCTCCAACAGCGCCCTCTATTTCCGCCTCTCCTCAATTTTTTTTTACCAACGAGCACCAAGCAATGGGAAATTGCACCAAGGCAAATGATCGAAAGCACCAAGGCAAATTACGGAGGACACCAATGTACATGAGGACACCAGAAAAGCAAAATAGTACCCCACCTTGTCTGTACAATCCAAGCTTGAAGAAAAAAAAAAAGAAGCCCCGTCAATTCCGGAATTTTGGTCTGACCAGAGACCGAATATTTTTTTTTTTGGCCTTAGATAGATACATCGACTGCAGTCCAATTAAATGTGCCACTGTTTGGCACATCTAAAGTACACAATTTCAGGGGTTAAGATCACCCAAGATCATACCCGTGGAAACGAGTATGGAAGACGAAAAGTGGCCATCTGCTTTTCTGCAAGCAGAATTTGAATTTTCTACTTTCCTGATTTAGCACATTTTACTTTCCCTCCTTTTTCAGGCGGACGAAAAGTGGCCATCTGCTTTTCTGCTATCAGAAAAGTAGAAAAGCAGATTGAACATTTTGTGAGAATGCATTTTTCCACTTTTCTGCCACCTGAAAAGTAGATTTTACTTAGGTGGCCGAAAAGCGGCCATCTGCTTTTCTCCTTTCAGAAGAGCAGAAAAGTGGATTGAACCTTTTGACAACTGTGCAATTCCACTTTTCTGCTTTTTGGATAACGGAAAAGCAGATTTTACTTAGGCGGCCGAAAAGTGGCCATCTGCTTTTCTGCTACAAACTGACATGACTGAGCAAATAATGAGAGCTGGATAGGGTTTAATCAAAATTTTGGGAACAGGTCCCCTGATTGTTTTAAAGCATAGTATCACCGACCCTCTTCACAGAATGGCCAGTCTTAAGTTTCACTAGATCAAAGGCCCATTGGTAGCAGAAAAGCCTCTTTTCATCCTCCATAAACGAGGTTGGTATTTTTTTTTATCAATTCCCAACGCTGGTCGGCCAACCAGCATTGGAAAAGAACTGGCTTTTTTTCCAAATACTGCTATAAATTTATATTTAGTTAGTCTGCATCTTCTTTGCAATCAAAAGTACACAAAGTGAATAGATACAGGCCATATACACTGATTCCCTGACCTTACAATTCCCGACATCTATTTGCTCATTGGGTGAAGTTAGCTTGAGTAACTCCAGCTGACATGCTCCATATTCATTCAAATGTGAATGAATATGGAGCATGTCAGCTGGAGTTACTCAAGCTAGGTGAAGTGGGGTTAGCATGGTCATGATGGTCAGGGAACCAGATAACCCCATAAATGTGGCCAATTTACTGGACTACCTCTGTAAATAAAGGCCACACTTCCACCATGTACAAAAACATGTGTCGAACTTTGTCAAATTTTGATTTTCACATTTAGGCTTAGTTTGTAGTTTATTTTTGCTTTAGAAGCATACTCACCCTCTTTATAGGCTAATCAGAAAGTGCTGCCTTTTTCAGATGTCTAATTTTCGTAAAAAAATTCATGTTGAAATTTTGATACGCAAACGTGTGCAAACGAATCTGGAAATTTCACGAAAAATAGACATCTGAAAAAGGCAGCACTTTCTGATTAGCCTATAAAGAGGGTGAGTATGAAACTGCAAACTAAGCCTAAATTTGAAAATCAAAATTTGACACAGTTCGACATGTTTTTGTACATGGTGGAAGTGTGGCCTTTATTTACGGAGGTAGTCCAGTAAATTGGCCACATTTATGGGGCTAGGAACCAGACTGCAAGAACATGATTGTTTTTCTTGGTTTTCATTACGAACCCAAACCCAAAACGTCAAACAAGTCGGTGTAACATTTAATATTAATATTTGCCATAAAACCCCAAAATCCATCCATTTGTAACCAGGTCGGGTTTCAGTACTTACTTTCACCCGACAGGTTCCTTACTCCAGCATTCATATCAATTATCATAACTTCTTAACTTCGTGTTTGTGTCGATTCAGTCACAAATGTGAGCAGCCATTACGATCATGCTTTTTGCCTAACGCCCTCTCGCGGCCAACTAAACTTTTTTTACAGCGCGCGCCGCCTAGAATTTTGCTCAACAATGCAATGGGCGTAGCGAGCAGGCGAGGTTTGCATTCCACCGCGCTTTGTTTAAGAGAAATAGCTGGCATTCCGGGCGTTTCGGTTAGTTTTCTTGTAAGGCCTGCTGCGAAATAACTTTGATTTCGATCCAACACCTTGTTGCGTTCAGACCATCATTTTGCGAGCTCTTACACTCTCCACTTACATCTACAAATTTTGAGAGAGGCTCCCTATAGCAGTAAAATATTTTCATCTATTTTCACTGCTGAACTTCGATTTTGACATCGGACACGGAGAAGGCATGAACGTAGACCATCCCAAGTGGTGAGTAAATCCCTTGTCTGATATTTCACTTTTTATGCCTAAAACCTTTTTTATGCCTGAATCTTTTTATGCCATCATTTATGAAACATTCTGGTCTTTTGTATGCTTTGTTAATTGCCATTTAAATAATTCTTCTGTTTGGGCAACAATCATTTTATGCCACAGTTTGTTCCTTTACTGATGCATGTATAAAAAAAGTGTTTTGATTTACAAATAAGGAAACCAGTTTTTCCCAAACTTCTTTGAATTAAATATCGTTAATAATGTATTTTGATATGGAAGTTATTCCCATAATTCATTAATCATTTATTGTTTTTATGCATTTCAGATACCATCCTTGGAGCGACTTCATTAGCCTATTTTCCCTTTTTGACTGTCGTTTTTATAGACCCAACAAAGTTTCGTTTGATATACCCAAAGTTCATATATATATACTGTAATTCTTTTGTAAATACCTAATAATTTGTATATTGTCTCATATTTGTGCTGTAAATAAAACATTTGATATTATTGAGACGTAGACAAACAGAAACTTCGCTCCACCCAAATTATTTTTAGTGGAACCACTCGGTTGTAAGGAGGGTGCCACATTTTAAACTAATAAATCCCACTCTCCCCGGTTACACATTTCTGAAAATTCCGACCATGAAAGCAATTTAGCAAAGGCCCCGAGTGAAGTGTCAGTATTTTAATTGTTTATTGTTGGCTTCAAATTGGCTCACAACATTGAGATCGCTAAATTTCCTCGATCCTCAGCTTTGAACCAGAGCTGAAACTTGTGCTTACCTCCGCTTTAGACAGTTCTCACAAAATAAAGCAGTCAGCTCAGCTCAGTCCAAATGGCAAATGCACGTACAGACGTACCGATTGCGCTGCCCAACTGAACTAAAGGCTGAACAATTAAGTGTCAAGCAAGGTCGACGTCGGTCCATGCAGTCTGCAGCCACACTAGCCTTTCGCCGGGTCAAGGCCATTGTGGCTTAAAGGGAATATACAACATTTGCAAACATCGAAAAATAAAACTACCAAGTTTTTACGAATCACCTTACTACTAGGATGTTGGTAAATGACAAGTCTAAAGCATCCTGTAAAATTGTGGCACCTGGTGTGAAGTCATTTTCAAGAAAATGGTATTTTTGTATACATTTCTTATGGTGGTCGGCCGACCTCCGTTGGAAAAACCTAACTATTTTTCAACAACTGCTCCACCTTAAACTTTTTTTTTCAGTCAAAATTTCGTTTGCTATTGGTTACATCATACATGTTCATGAACGGGGACGGGTGCAGGCCAGCTAGACTGGTTCCCTTATATACCTTACAATTTTCAGGCATCTATGAATTGATCCATTTTATCTTTACTGGAGTCAAGGAACCAGACTACTTGAACATTTTTGTTTTTCTCAGGCATGCGGCTGGGAAGTCACAAAAAAAGAGAGGAAATTCACATCTTTCCAAGACTTTGTACAGCGTTTTTCTATTTTCAATGGCAAACTTGAGAATTAAAAAAAGAGGAAATCAGCTGATCCGAGGAAAAGTTGCATGCCTGTTTTTTTGGTTTTTCCAGCATTTTCGAACACAAAACTTCAAACGTGTCAGTTTAACAATATTTGATCTGTTAAACTAACCCCTCAAATTGTTCATTTCTGAAAATAACAGCAAAAGCCAATGATGTACATTCCCTTTAACTTGCCGGAATTAGACAAAGCCGCGAATATTCTTAATATTTTTGTTTCTAATCCTGCGTTTTTATTGACACACGCTGTAGTATATATCTTGAAATAGTTATAAGGGGATAATATTAAGTGTGATTAAGCAGTTTCCATGCATACAATATTCAGCCATTATGGTTGCGAGGGGTGAAGCTTGGCTGGTTAAAGCCTATCCGATTACGTACTTAGACGCTGTAACAGAGCAGTGAAATTCGTGAACCCCCAAAACATGTCCTTTTGAACGTTGTGTTTCTCAGAAAATATGTTCAGTATGATTGAAATGTTAAATTATAAAGGAAGAAGAAATTCTAAACTTCATGTCAGTGAAAAAATCGCCGTCATCGATGCCAAAACCTCAGTACTGGTTACTGGTACGGTAAAGCAGACCTTCAAGTCTGGAAGATATCGTTCGAAAACGTCCCCAAATCTATGTATTTATATCAATTTCTAGGAATTTACGAAAGTTGTTATTTCACGAGTAGTTGAACATTTATATCATCTAAGTATATTCCGAATTTCAGCTTAATCTGTTGGCGCTAACGCTTGTGTTACAGCTCAAAATATCTCCTAAGGAAAATCTCGACGAGGATTTTTTCGACCCAACCCACTTGCATGGTTTTCATAGCGCCGTAGGCGCTACGGTTGACCAATTTCGGCCTGGCACAGCGCAATAACGGTGGGTATATTAATTAGCATAATTAGCGTCACCTGGCGTGACTTGCGTGGGTCTCGGTATCGACCAATGCATGGAAGCCGGCAAAAAGGGTGATATTTATCAATTAAAAACTCGTGAAGAAGGCTTTAATGCAACTGCACACTATAATGGGTAGGAACCTTATTAATATTTGTAAGGCTTGAAAAGATTAAAAGACATTGCTAACGCCAGTGTTACACTTACAGCTTTCAAATATGCACGTAGCCATGTGGGCCTATTTTTCCAATTTCAACGACAAGTAAAGAAGATATCACAACGATTTTAGCACATTACTTGGATCATTACAAGGGAAATAAACCCTGAAAGTTGCATGAAGATACGGTCTTCCAAACGGGAGAAATTAATTTTCAAAGATTTCGCCCGCCTGTGTGAACATGTGTGTACATGTAGTTTCATTCAAAATAAAGTGTTACGTAACCTTTAGAAATCGCCTTTCGCAACCACATGGCTATATTCGTGTGGTAAAAACCAGTTAGGCACCTGACCGGCGATAATTCCTGAGCCGAATCTTAGGCGCAGGGTGACCGTAAGGTCATGGCAAAATTCTGCTTAAAATGCACTTGTCAAAAATCAGCCACATTCCCCAGAATTACTCGAAAAAACACCGTGAACACTTACAATCACATGCAGATGTTGTAGTATTTCCTTAATTAAGGTTCAAATTACATTATAAACAATCTATAGTCACTCAAAGATGTTACAAAACTATTGCGTAAATTTCAGGCAAAACGCGCGTCACGACGAAGTCTGGTTCCCAGTAAACCTCAGCACCTAGACCAGCCAACGTCCTGTCCCATTATGCAAGGGTTTGTTTAAAAAAGATTGAAGCTTTTTATACAAATGTACCATTTTTTTTCAAATTTGCTATGGTTTTCTGTCAAATAACCATTTGTGCAGAATTCTGCCAGAAATCTGCCAAAAAATCCATTCTGTCAAATTTCTGTCAAACTCGTTTAACAAAAAAAAATGTCAAAGTTAGCCGAAAATCGGCTAAAAACGGTCACCGCGACCAGTTTACCCTGACGTAAATGACGTGACCAGTGTTTTACCGGCAGTTTAACCACCCACGTGACGGGCTCTCGACCAATAGGAATGAGTAAACTGTCTCAGGTAAAATATTTATATGAATGAAAAGATTAAGAAAATTGGGGAAAGAAAGGGGAAAAGAGAATATATGACTATGACCCACAACAGAACCAACAATAAATTAACCAATCCAAATCATCCCAATTCTTATTACGTTTAATTATCAAAAGTCAAAAATCGAAATCAGAAATCATAAAAAAAAGTATTTGCTAAAATGCACCCTGAATAAAATTATGGCGTGTAAAAACCAGACACTATTTTTTTCTGCCGAATCTGTAGACCACTGCACGTGGACATCGTGGATTCTTAATAACTGAAATAATTTTCAGAAAGAATGAATTGTACTTTCGATTGATTGCACATTGCGAAAAGCAGTGGTATAATGTTGATGCATGGGCCGTGTCTATTAGAAAAAATCGGGCACGAGTCAGTTTGATGGGGCCCATGGCATGTTCGCTTAAGGTTGCAGACCAGTAAATCGGTCCGTTATTGCCTACGCCGGCCAAATCACGATTTGCATGCCCTCAAAATCTTCAGTATTTGAACATGCTGTGGGCCATGAACTTGAGGGTTTGTTAAAAAAAAATATGGGTGGGGGCCATGCACAGGACTCTGAGCTTGTAGTTTTATTCAATTTGGATGAAATTGGGGCCCTTAAAGCGCTGTATTTTGCAATGGAGTGTACGCATCGTTTTTCAAAATGGCGATGGGCTACAGGACTATTTTCAGGTGTGATCATCTTCGGATGGAAAATTACTCCTAAAAGTCATCAGTTGACCCCCCGAAAATTGAAAAACACTTGAAAGATGATGAAATAAGCTTTAATTTGATGTGTGTTTCGAACACCTTGGAGAGTTGTGAGTATTTTTCCCGAATTTCTGAAGTGGGAGCATTTACCATTGGGGTCTAAGTTTATTTACTGGTCTGCAACCATAAATGACCAATTCAAACACACTGCCTTATTTCAGTGTCGTGCCGATATGTCTAGTCATTATCGTAAACCAATAATGCTATCGCTTTTATCACCGTGGGACCCCCTTCAATGGCAAAAGCACTATGCTAGCTATCGTTCATCCGTCCAGGGGAAGTTGCTTTGTACATTAAGTTGCACAATAGTTTCTCCATTGAAGGGGGCCTCGGGAGTGCACAGCGATCAAGTGCACGGATTCGTCTGTGTTTGAAACAAGTAGGAATACAAGCTTTATGAGTTTGTCTGGAGGGTGGGCGTGTTTACACTAACATGCACGGCCTGATTAATTCTCCTCCTTACTGGAATAAATATATAGGCGGCTGAAGCGCAAACGAAGAGGCCGGCAATGATGAGTAGACAAAGAATGTAGTCACCCGTGACATCATACAGTACACCTAGCAACAAAAAAGAGAAGAAAATAAGCTTTAAGAAAGTCAGAGAGAAATTTTGTACAAGACAATGCAAGAAAAGCTGCTCACTAAACGCACAAAATTCTTGGATTCAGAATGGCAATTCCTATTTGGTACTACAAGAGACTTTTCATGTATCTGTGTAAACAATGTGACAGATTTAGCACAGTCGTCGGCATTACAGGGTAATCCTATACGATAGCACTGCCCGGTGAGGCAGTCAGTCAGTGAAATAGGTGTAAAGTGGCCCTCAGGGACCGGATATTATTATATTACCGAATGGTACTTTTTGTGTCAAATAAACAGTCTCTTTGTAATTAAAATAAAATACCGGCTTTTACTCAGTGTACGCCTTTTGTGTTGAACTTGAGGTATTTACCTGCTAATGGTGCACTAATCAGAACTCCGATCCCGGTGGGAACTAACGTCATAACCATGACACCATTAGTGCCATACTGCTCGTGGAAAAGTTCAGCTGCAGCTGTAAATTGTGCTGCATAGATGCCTGACCGTAGAACCCCAGAAACTAGAAGCCATACCAAACAAACAAACATGAAACAAAACAAAGTGAAATAAGCTGTCCACGCGGACGTTATGAATTCGGGTGACACACTGGTCACGAAAGAACGAAATAATGGAAATTTTTGCTCTGTGAATGCTGTACACTACGAGAACACAATATTCTAGGACTTCAAAAATTGCGCCCGAAATCAACATCCGGAACACGTTCTCAGTCAGCCACGATTTAACAAGCGTCTTTTTTTTCTGAGCCGCATAAGTATCTAGTACGCGCTTTATGGTCCATACTTTGGCAACAAGAGATCAGCTGTTGTGTTGGACGTAATACCAGTGAACATGACTTAACTTACCCACTGCAAGAAGCACGATCACATCAAACGTCTTGGCAATGGTCAGAAACCCCAGAACGATGGTTCCAAAGAGACATGAGGCCATCAACAGATACAGAGACAAGAAAGGCAGATGATCTCCAATCACGGCTATCAGGACCTTCCCACCAAGTTCCGCCAAAGCAAAGGACATGATGACAGAGGCAATGCTGTTGCTGTCCAGACCAAGTCCGTCCATGAAACTAGCCTGCAAGAACAAAGCAAGTTTATTTTTAAGTTGAATTCAACCTTAGAGCCGGTTAGATCAAGAATGTTGGCTATAAACCATTAGTGGGATAGGGAGGGGGGGGGGGTGTTCCAGCCCAAAATAACCCCTCACCGAAAGAAAGGAACAAGACATTTGAAAAGTGGTACGAAAAAGCTGCATGATGATGACTTTGTTCAAACTACCTACTATGTACTGGAGATCTATGTAACAAAGAAATACAAATATTGCAAAGAGCTAGTGTATCAAACATGGTAATTCCAAAATAATAATTTAGCAGTGATATGAAGGAGGTTCGAACCTCCTTAATTCATGCTTTATCAACAATCCAGATGAACTTATTCAAAGATTAGTCCGTAATTCTAATTATGAATTTCAACACTCGCCATTTCGTTGCATTTCAGTGGTTATACGTTGATGAACTGCACCACAGCATATGGCTGAGCATCATTGATTCAAATATAACAGCGTTGCTGTTGAAACCCCTCAGCCAGAGTCAAGTTATCATCCGAGAACCATTAACCTTTAACTCAACCTTGACCTTTGACCCCAGAACTAATCCCAACATGCCTGTACCAAGGGCAACCCCCTACCTAAGTTAGACACCAAAATCTCATTTCCAACTCAACTTATCATCCGGAAACCATTTACCTTTAACTCACCACGGTGACCTTGACCTTTTGACCGTAAAACCAATCCCAACTTGCCTACTCCCAAGGGCAACCCCCTACCAAAGTTAGACACCAAAATCTCATTTCTAACTCAAGTTATCATCCGGAAACCTTTTACCCTTAACTCACCACGGTGCCCTTGACCTTTGACCTTTTGACCTCAAACCAATCCCAACTTGCCTACTCCTAAGGGCAACCCCTACCCAAGTTTCAATCCCAAACAACATTTCTAACTCAGGTTATCATCCGGAAACTAAGCTGCCCGGACGGACAGACGGTACGGACGTCCGGACGGCCAGACGCACTGACGGATGGACGCCGTAGGCGATAACAATACCCCTCGAGCCTCTCGGCTGAGGGGTAAAAACATAAGGCAAACCCATCTACTTTACAATTTGAACTGACGACTTGAGATATCCTTCCAGTTACATTCTTCTTGAATTTTAAAATTCTGATCAGAAGCAATATTGGACCTTCTCAAAAACCAAAGCTATTAAACTAAACATGATGAAAAAGTTAACAATTTCCCCTAAATGTGGATTTGTGGGCAACGTACGTAATTAATATTGAAGAAAGTCCAGCCCAAAAATGAGAAAACTGTAGCAAAGTACCACGCCCAAGCCTCAGGGTTCGTTAAAGCACTAATTAGCCTTCCACGAAAATGTCTCTCTTCTCCAACTTCGGGAGATCCTTGATTTGAAATGTGTGCTTCCTCGTCGTTGGTACTTTTGTTGTCAGTTTCTCGTGCATCATCGTCAGTCTCTTCAATGCAGCCGTCATCATGAACCTGCTTCCCCGGGACCATGCTCTCCAATTCATGTTTCTCATCACCAGGAGACTCATCGGGCGCCCTAGTGTAGTCCTCGGTTGATGGTGGGTCAGCCAGCAGCAGACCGTCAGCTATCCCGATCACGAGAATTCCACCACTGAGAATTCTCAGCGCATTACGCCATCCGTAGTGAGTTATTAAGGCTGTCAACAAAGGGCTAAAGGCAAGCATACCTGCATATCCCACGGAGTTAAAAGAGAAAATTGCCATTAAAAATCATGTTAATTATCCACTGTTCAATTTAAATGCAATAATTCAAAATCCTCCCTTCCTGTATACAAGTTCGACAATATTGCCTGACTTTGGCCATTGAAAACAAAAGGACATCAGCTTTTTAACATTATTCAAACCAGTCACTGCTATAAACTGGGTTATAATTTTGATTTTCAATTTTAGATATAGGGTTTTTGTTCAGTCAAAAACGGGGACCACAATCAGAAGCCAATATTAAGGTGGCACCAAAAATCGCAGGCATGAGGTGGCAGGCCTCCCATAAAGGAGCACAGAGTGCGTCCCAATGACCTGTACGCGAGCATCGTGCAACCTCAGTAAATGGCCCCCATCGTGGTCGCCACATATAATTCACAGTGGTCCGAGAAAACAAATTGACCACGTATTACCGCATGAGGATCCCAATAGAGCGAGGGCGCTCGCCCGCGAGAAGTTCGCCTTGGCAAACCAGTCAAGCAGCAGGGCAAAGGAGGCATTCGTGGTCAGGTTGGCGCCCACGCCCGTCAAGACCGAATACGTGAAGAAGGCGTATCCCAGCGTTGGCACGGGAACGAATGACGTCGTCAACAGTCCTGCGCAGAAGGCAATGACCCCCAAGATGGTGACGATTCGACCGCTCAGCTTGTGTGTAAGAAGAGAGCAGAGAGGACTAGCAAGGCCAGCCAGTGCAGCTGCCAAGGACCCTAGCCAACCTGAAAACAAAACAGATACATGTACTAATTTATGTATAAAGTAATCATCATTCCTCTAATAGACAAGGCAAGCCTAGCGAAGCAGGTCCCAGAGCACACAAAATTATATTCAATTGAATCAGAATGGCTACAAAGTTTGTGGAACAAGGTAATGTGGTACATGTATTCAAGTGATGGTACTCAATAATCTCCTTTCGTCGTTCACATGGAGACATGACATATCATCCCTTCTCAGTGGCGTAAATCTGTGTCGGCGAATGGCGGATAGGCAGTTTTAGGACTTTTGGTCACCCCCCTAAGAAAATACTAGCCGTGTCAATTATAACACGATTACCACAACATATTACCGCCAGGCCCGGAACGTGGAATTGTGACGCAAAAGTCTAACTTTAGTAAACGACGGTGGGTAGTTGGACCGGGTGGACTTATTTGCTACATGTATTTTGAAAGTAGCTTTAATATATGAAGCAAGTGGCGCCCGACTAATGCACATGATGCAAGGTAACATACATGAATAGGCAAGTCTCGGCTTATCCCCGACCACTGCAAGAGACAGTCAGTCCTATTCATATAAATGACAGCGAGTCAGTCAGTGTAGCTAGGTACAACGAGGATAATATAGGCTGGCCCAGTTAAAACCAGCAAATGCCTAACGCATTCGTAAACGTTCACGTTTTGTTGAGAACAGCCTGGTTAAGCAAAGTGGCAAAAGGCTTTACCAGCACAAACCACTATTTGGTACAATGCTTGTTACCACATGCACATTGCTTGTGACTACAAATGTACATGCATAACATTAACCATTGCTTACAGCAGCACTAGTTTTGTTCACAATAGGAGTTAAGTTCTCATCTCGGTGCACTGTATGTCGGGACTAACCTGTCAATGCCGAGCTGGAATGGAAATCCTCCTGCAGGCTCACAAACAGTATGCTGAAGTTGAACAGGAGTCCAAAAGTTAAGCAAAACTGACCGAAAGTCGCGAATGTGACGACCCAACGCCACCATCCGCAACGGGACCCTGATGGGCACACCATATCGGCCGTACCGGTCTCACAGTACGCAACCTTCACCGTCACTTCTCCTTGATGTTTTTAGACGACTATCTAGAGAATAAAAAGAAAGTGACTCTGGCAGTTCTGAGTGTAACGTACTTGTGTATTTACGGGTGGGTTCTGAAGCAATGCTTTATTACAATGTTCATGTTGTGAACATAGTAGTACAAAAATGTATATCGGTACATTGTACTGGAGCTTCAAAATGATACGTCATATGTGACATCTCCCTGTTTTATACAAGGAGTTGTAAAATTGTAACTTTAACTGTAAACTTTTAACGGTCAACTTTAATCATAAACTTTAACTGTCCATTTAATGTTTGTAAGTATGTTTGAATAAACATTTGCAATGGAGGTGAACGGCAAAGGTTTAACAATGGCCATGAGCGAGTTTCCAATAAAATCTGGCACTTGATGTGAAGGAAACTGACTTTGTGTGACTGAGTTGCATTTGTGAATTGTGCTTGTTGTCTAACTTAATTTGAGGATAAGACTGACTTCAGTATGAGTATTAGTAGTTTGTGATACTAGAGTGTTCAGGTCCAGTTTAAAGTCCATGTGGATGGGGGTCTGACGATGTGTCTGGTTATGTAGGGTGGCTTTGTGGGTTGATGCCTTGGTTTGCTGGATTGGGGTTCGCGACATTTCGCGTTAGGTTTGGGGGTTTTCCAGGTGTGGTCGTCTGAGGAATTGATGGATGGTCTGGCTTTGGCTTTTGGAAAACTGCTGGTGGGGGTGGTTAATTGGCCAGGTAGGTAGAGAGACGATGGTGTCGTTGATTGCATCAGTACTTTGCAGTTGCCATACTGAACTATGTACAACCCTGGCGCTTCATGGTGATTTACTACTGTGGCCGGAACCCACTGTTTAGCACCTGGAAATGGTGCCATCCTCATCGGGTCTCTGGACTTAAGTGGTGGTAAGTCATGTCCTTTCTTGTTGAAGTAATGTTGTTGTTGTTTATCCTTGTCTTGGTTGATTCGATGTTTTATGTCAGATGTCTTCTGCGCCATGGGACGAAGCAGAGTTTTTGCAACAGGTAGCTTGTTTCGTGGTCTGCGACTCATGAGCAGCTGAGCAGGTGAGAGGTCACAGCTTGCGAGTGGGGCAGTGCGATAGTCAAGCATCGCAAGGTGTTTATCCTGACATTTCTTCTAAAAGTGCTTCACTGTCTGAATTGCACACTCAGCTTCCCTGTTGGACTGAGGGTGATGAGGAGAGGTGACATGGATGATCCGGCACTCTTTGCAGAATGTGTCTAGCAGCTTCTCAGGGATGCCGTGATGGCTAAACTTTGACTTCAGGGTGTCCATGACTGTCGCGCTGGTTGTGTCTGTGAGCTTGTCAACTTTAATAGATTTGGAGAAATTGTAGACGGTCAGTAGGTACTGATAGCCTTCGAACTGGAATATGTCAGATACCAGCTCAATCCATGGAAGATCAGGTACCTTTGTTGGCTTAAGTGCCTCAGAAGGCTGTCTCTTCTGGTGTGTATTGCAGGCTCTGCAATCCTGGACCAGTTTCTCTTTTTGTTGCATCATTCCGGGCCAGAACAGGGCTTCTCGTGCTCTCTGCTTACATTTGACGATGCCCAGGTGCGACACGTGGATCAAGGCAAGCATGTCAAGCCTCATGCTCGATGGCACGACAATTCTCATGCCCTTGTAGATGATACCGTTGGATAAGTGGAGTCTCCTGTTTGGTATCCGACCAGCCTTTCAGGATCATCGTGTGTAGCTCATTCAGCTCGTCTGCTGTTTTCTTCTGGAACTCGCTGCAGTGTGTTGGTGTGACTGAGACATATAATCTTTCATCTTGATGATGACTGGCTTGATGTCAGGTTCTGTGTCCGGTAGGCTTGTTCTGCTGAGCAGGTCTCTGATCAGGATCTCCTAGCCAGGCTTGTATGCGACATTCAAGTCATATGGCTGAAGTCTAAGGAGCATGACAGACTGCAGTCTAATGGGAGCCGACAGGAGAGGTTTGGAGCAGATTGCTTGCAGTGGTTTGTGATCACTCTCAATGGTCACAGTTTTGCCAAAAACGTAGTGATGGAATTTCCTGCACGAGTGGACAATCGTTAGCATCTCCTTCTCTATCTGTGCGCACCTCATTTCTGTGGGTGTCATGGCTCTGGATGTGTAGGCTATTCGCTTGCCTTCTTGAAGTAGAACTCCACTCCGAGCGTAGCTACTAGCATCGCACTGTATGGTTGTCTCTTTGCGTACATCATAGAATGCCAGGACTGGAGCTGCAATACAAACCTCTTTAAGCTTGGAAAAGCTTTGTTGCTGTGGCTTGTCCCAGTGAATTAAATGTCACGTCTGTCTTTATCATTTGGCAAAGTGGCTGGTCAACCTCACTGAGGCTTGGAATGAACTGCCAGGTACTGGATACAGCCAAGAAATCTGCAGATGTCGTCCTTTGTCTGTGGCTCGGGCATCTCTCTCATCGCTTTGACCTTGTCAGGGTCTGGCTTCAATCCGCTGGCAGTGACAAAATAACCAACGTACTTGATTTGCGTTTGTTTGATCTGGCATTTATCGAAGTTGAGCTTCAAGTTCCACTCAGTTGCTCTGGTTACAACAGCCTTCATGACATGAGGTGATTTTCCTTTTAAAAACCTGGGCCTTTTCATACCAGGCTTTTGATGTTTATCTTTCACTGAGTCCAGTGTAACATTATCTGGTTAATCCCTTAAAGGCAGTTAGTTGCACCACATGAGGCCAGTCCAAATGGTATTGTTTACTTCCTGCTGTATCTACCTTTTGGAAACCCCATACATGTTACATGTACAGGCACAGTCTGACAAATTCATGATTTCCGTTGTTTGTGCAACAATTTCAATGATCAAAAACAGAAAACATGGTTTCATTACTGGACAAAAACGAATATTACGTTGGATAATTAATTCGTGACGTTGCCATCTGAAAGGCCCAATTGGTGTGTTAAACGTTGTAAGGAGGTTTGACTCATAATAAAGCTCAATCTGCAAGAACCCTGACTTGGCGTCTATGACGGAGAAAATCTTGGCATCCAGCAAAGATGCTCAGGGGTGTGAGTGACCACTGATAAAAATAGCTGGAAACAGCTGGAAAAGGTGTAAAAAAAGTTGAAATCAGCTTTACAGCTGAGATTTCACACCCCTGGATGATATGACTCCTTCAACTGATGGGATTGGGAAGTGCATGTTCACGACGAATCGCCTTGTTGAGATCCATTGGGTCGGAACAGATTCTCACCATCCCATTCTTCACCACGACAACCATGGAGCTCACCCAGTCTGTGGGTTCGGTGACTTTCACGATGTGGTTGTCAGGCTCCATCTCATGTAGCCTGTTGACTATCTTCGGCATTTAGATCTTTTTTTCTTCATTGTATAATTTTGTGTGTGTGTGTTTTTAATCATTGTTTTTAACTCATTTTTCCCCCATCATTAATGTCTTTATTAATCACTTTTCTCAACGTTTTTTTTCTTTTGCATAGTTTTCAGTTTTTTCCTGTTTAAATTCAGTGTTGTTTTCTGTCATTTTTCTATCATCCTTCCCCGTTCTTATATTTTGTGTGAGTGTCTTTTGATCACGGTAATTATCTCCAGTGTATCATTTTTGTATTTAATTTTAACCTTTTTTTTGTTTTTTTGTCAGTTTTTTTTGTGTTTTTGTTTTTGTTTGTTTTTGCTTTGCTTTTTTTTATCCTCCCCACTTAAGTCATCTCAGACATTTTTCGACGTTTTAATTTATAAATTTTTGGGGTTTTTGTTTGCCTTTTCAATCATCCTTCCTCGTTTCAGTCTTTTTTTGTGTTGTGTGTGTGTGTGGGTATGTGCGTTTGTTTATGGTGTAAATCGAGGACACACACGTGCAACATCATTGGTGAATCGAGGACAGGAATCAAATCAAGCATGACCTCGATTAGAAAACGTGTACAAAACCAATGAGAGCAGTTGCGAAAGAGAGTACAAAGGAAAAGGGAAGAGGAACAAAAAATTCTTTATTTACACCATAAACAAACGTGGGTGTACGTGTGGGGTTGTTTGTTTGTTTTTATTTGTTTGTTTTTGTTTGTTTGTTTGTGTTTTTTTTTTTTTTTTTATCTCGGTAATCTCCCTTATTGTGTTAGTGTTTAATTCATTGTTTTTCTCTGTCATTTTTTTATCTTACGAAATGTCTTAGTGCATGTCGTCTTGTATATTTATGGTAATCCTTACTTTTAGGACACCTCTAATTTTTACAAGTTCTGTTCAAAACTGACTTTTGCAGATAACTGTCCAGTACCAAAGTGACTTTTGCAGGCTAAAGCAGTCTTTTTTCTTCATATAAACTCATGATAGTTGAAGTTTTGAAAGCACTTTCTAAGAAAATGTGACTTTCCTACCTTTTTTCGCAGTCAGACGTGCATGTTGTAGTTCTCACATGCGTGAAAGCTTTACATAATGAAAGCCCGATGCTGATTGGCTGCTAAAAAAATTAATTAGTCTGGTTCCCAGACCAAAAGATTCTGACTACTCCTGAATCTTTTGGTCTGGGAACCAGACTTAAAATAAATAAGTTAGTCTGGTTCTCAGACCAAAAGATTCTGACTATTCCTGAATCTTTTTGGCTGGGAACCAGACTAAAAATAAATAAGATGTTTTTTTTAATCAGCCAATCAGCATCGAGCTTTCATCGCATCGAGCTTTCACGTTTGCCATCTAGGGCCAAGTTCCCGCAAGGACTATAGTTGACCAATGGTTAACTAACGTTTGCCCGAACTCTGTCTAGTCGACGATGGTTGACTACGCTAGTCGACTATTTGGAACCAGCCTCCTGGGGTTGGTTGCTTCGTTGGTAACCAATAGCCGCACGCATCCATAACGCTAGCAGAGAGCCAAGATCCAGAAGTTTTGCGATGACATTTTGACCAGCGTTTGACTAGAGACGTTTGCACGTTGCTATCAGAGCGCAGGCGTAAGGTACATCACAAATCAACCACTAGTCGACTAATGGTCCTTGCCCGAACTTGGCCTTGGTTTTTGAGTCTGTTTTCTGGTTGTCATCGTCGTCTTTTACCCCTGAATTTCCCTCATAAATCAAAGCCCATGCCCTCTTTCCACAAAATTAAACCTGCTGATATTCAAGAAGGTGTCATTGCCAACTGTTCAGATGTGTCAAGAAATATCAGAATGTCAATTTTGAGTGTCATTTAGTCAACTGTTTTGGTGAGTCTTTCCCTTCCTATATAGGAACGGGGTCCTAAAAGTAAGGATTACCATATTTATAATGTACGTGCTATTTTTATTTATGTTTTGATGTTTTATATATATACATGTAAAGCTTTTTTTACTTTTTTTTTTTTTTTTGCTTGATTTATCATTGCAGCAGGTCCTCGGACCACAGTACTTGTGCTTTATCTGTTCCTTGCCTTTCTTTTAATGTTGTAACTTTGTACTTAAGAATGGCTAAATAAATAATAATAATTAGCATTATGAACGCCTGTGCCTCTCATCTGGGGCCGTGCACTACTGGTTCTACTGATGGATCAATCTTCGAGGAATATTTTCCTGGAAGTGTGCCAGTGATCATCTTTAACTTGGTGTACTGCTCGAGCCCGTAGACTCTGTCTATGAGTCCAAGTTGATTGCTGGCATCTCCGCTGAGGAGTAGTGGCTTTCTTTCTGCCTGTATTACGTAGTATGGCATATCAATGCACACATTTTTGTGGCATGTAGGCAACGTGATGTGCCCTTCCACCTTCAGCTTGTTGCTCGAGTATGACTCGAACTTGCGTTCACTAGAGCACAACTGGTGTTCCCGAGTGTCTGGTAGATGTGGAGAGGCATAATGGATAGCGCTGTTTCAGTGTGGTCTGCACCTCGATGTTTTTGTTGTTGATTCAGACTTTCTTGTACCATTTGTAGGATGCAGACTCATCCTCCAGCGCACTGACAATGGGCATATTCTTCGTCTGAAGAAAAGTCATCACTTTCTGATGTGCCCTGGGCTGTGGTGCTTTCCATCCCGTGTGCTACAAGCCGTTTTCTGCTCATCGATGCAAAGTGATTTGGCTCTTTTCAGTAGACGCAGGTTTGGTTCTTTGCGGGGCATTGGAAAGATTTCTATATACGAAGTTCACTCAACACCCTGTGTACAAACCCTATGAGATTGGACTGAACAATTCTAAGTGTTTTCTAAGAAAATGCTTGTATTTTCTCACTGCTCAAATTGACTTTGATGACATGAAATTGCTATCTGGGGGCTTGTTAGTCAATACAGAGGAAAATTAGTGAACTTCGTATATGGAAATCTTTCCCGGGGCATTTCCTGTTGTCTGCCCCGCATTTGTGGCACTTGTTCCCCATGCCAGGTTTTGCCTCAGTTTTACTGGACTTCCTTGGGTTGCGACTGCCTCTTGGTGAGTGTGGCTTTTGCTTGGGGTGGGACTTAAGCGACTGGGTTTTTGGGAATACACTGATCTCATGGCGTTGACTTTACGATCTTCATCCTTGTTGATTTCTCTCAAGCTTTTTTGAGATGGCCAGAGCAAGAGTCAGCTCGTCTCCTTTCTCCAGGCATTTCTCTTGAACTTAATGATTAAATGCACGGAGAACTCGGCATCTCAAATCATGTATTCTTCGTCGTCATAGACACAGTCTTTGACTAGCACCCGCTGGTTGATGGTTGCACCGATCTGGTTTTCCCCTCAAATTTGGCATAAACCAGCTGCCTATAGCTTGTCCCATTCATCTGGTGTGGCCCTCTGGAATGTTGTGAAGGCTTTCCCTCCTTTATCTCTGACGTATTTCATAAGTAAGTTCACCCTTTCAACGTCCGACTTTTGAGCTAGGGCCCAGGGTCCTTGAATGCGAATGTGCATTGCTGTTTTAATCTCTTCCATTCTTTTGGCAGATCAGGTGCTCTTTTTTTCTGTTAACTTGACATGCCTGATATAGGCCTCCGTAGTTTTGTTTTCGGCCGTGAGATTTTTGGTGGGCTATTTTGCAGACAGATTTGAACAGTCTAGCAGTGAATCTCTTTACAATGTGTTTGTTATTGCTTTAGAGATTCTCGGTTTCAGTTCCTTTTTCCATTTGAAACTGTCTTCCGAAGATTTGTTGCACTGCAAAACTAGATGTGAAATTGTTTCACGAAACTGATAAAGTACAATGCTAATCACGAGTAGCCCCACTATAGTGTGGCCGCGGTATGCTGCGCTGAACAGAGGTTCAGCGCAGCATACCGCGGCCACACTAGTGGGGCTAAATCACGAGCTGCCATGCCATGCGTAACGGTTGACGTTTTATTTTTGAGTTTGAACTTAGTCACTTTGAACTACAGTTTCTGTTACTCACTCATTGGATGTCTTTTTCAGATGCTTTCCTGCCATGTACTACTACTAGACAAGTTCTGGTTGCTTGGTTTCCCCGCCTTTACTGAGTTTTGGGGTCCAAAACTTCTGTTCTGACACGGTGTATTTACGTGTGGGTAGTGTGGGTTATGCGCTAGCATATCGGTACGGGAGCCTCAAAATGACAAATGTGACACTGAGTATACAACGAGGTTATAGTTGCCAAGAAAGGTGTCAGGAGGCCCCCTCACGGCAAACTTAGGGTGTAACTTCAATATTGACGTTTTTGATATAAAGTCATTATTGAGTTATTGAGGGTGGGGTTTCCATTAAACGAACCCTCAATTCCACACGGCCTTCCGTTTTAAAGATAGCGGGGTGTATCTTGTGCACAAATATGTGCTCGTTTGATTCAGTTTCTTTGACAAAAGGGTGCATATTGAGATACACCCTGTTTTGTGCTAGATGTGACCAGATGAGACAAGAAACAAGGAATCCTGGAACACAACGTATTTGTATGTGTCTCTCCTCACAAAGTCTGGTTTATATACAGGAGCATAACAAAATTGTATACCAAACCATCAGCACACAAGCATTCCAAAACAATTAAATCTGCCCGTCATCTTTCTAAAGCTATATTATCAGAACTAAAAGTCCTATGGGTCGGACCAGTTGGCTCCTCAAACTTGCCTGCCAAATTATGCTAAGTAGGTTAAATGCTGGCTTCTGATTGGTCATTGCGATTACGTTCTATCGACTATCCAGACGATATGCGTAATACCGGCCGCTCCCTTTCATATGTGCTATGTCCGTCGTGTGCTATGCAGTCACATCACGTGGAGAAATTTTTGAACTATGCCGCTCTGCATTTGCAAGACTACTATAATATAAATAGGCATTACAACAAAAATGATTTCTGACAGTTACTGTTGTAGTGTGTGTAGCCTACTTTAATGTACATGATGTAAAAGTCTTTTCTTATAATGCAAAATTACTCACGTGGTACGTCGTCTCTGTCAATTGAAAGAAAGGATTCCCATAATGTCGAACGTCATGTGGTGTATGTGGAACACCCAATTTGTGTGTACATCTTTGAAGAGCATAACAAAGCAAATGAAAATAAATAATTTGCAAGTGAACACTTTAGAAATTACATAGACTTCCTTTTCACAGCCTCCCCTTCCCCCACCCCGGGGGCATTGCTTGGGGTTGAGGGTTGGGTGTGACCACCCACCAATAACTTGGCTATGTCGGTAAAATCATTGCCACATGGGCAAAAAAACATTTATTTGCAAGCCGCAATGAATAATAATGGCCATATCCATTGAAATACATGTACTTTAAAATAACTATCACTCTAGTGAAAACTCAAAACGGCTTCTATTTTGATTGATTGATTGGCGTTGTTAGGCAAGGCTAATCCGATTACTTAGACGCTATAATAGAGCAGTGAAATCCATGCGCCCCAAAAACATGGCCTTTTGAACGTTGTGTCTCTCAGAAAATATACTCAGTGTGATTGAAATATGAAATTATAACGGAAGACGACATTCTAAACTTCATGTCAGTGAAAAAAATATCGGTCATCGATGCGGAAACGTCAATACTGGTTACTGGTAAAGCTGACCTTCAAGTCTGGAAGAAATCGCTCGAAAACTTCCCCAAATGCATGTATTAACCTCAATTTCTAGGAATCTCTCCAAGTTGTCATTTAAGAAGTAGTTCAACAGTCAACACTTATATCATCTAAGAATATTCCGAATTTCAGCTTAATCTGTTGTTGCAAAAGCCAGTATACCAACCAGAACCATCTCCATGGAAATTTTCGACGAGGCTTTTCTGTTGACACAACCGACGTGCCGCAGTCACGGACCTCCGTGAAATAAAAAACTGGGGGAGGGGGGGGGGGGGCTGTAGTGTGGGGTTTCGAGTTATTTTTTAGGAATTTGTATGATAATTTTTTTGGGGGACAGAGCGTGAAGGAGGCTCTTCTCCAAATTTATACTGCATACCACAATGAATAGGAACCCATTACTATGCTATCACTTGTATCACCGTGGGACCCCCTTCAATGGAAAAAGCACTGTGCTAGCTATTGTTCAACCGTCACGGGGCAGTTGCTTTGTACACTAGGGTGCACAATACTTTCTCCATTTAAGGGGCTTCGGGAGTGTACAGTGATCACGTGCCCGGATTTGTCTATATTTTTGAAACGAAATTCGGGACACAAGCTTTATACATTCTTAAAGGGGCGGGCGTGTTTACACAACATGTTTTATGCTCCTCCTTACTGGAATAAATATATAGGCCGCCGAAGTGCAAACGAAGAGGACGGCAATGACAAGTAGACTAAGAACGTAGTCACCCGTGACGTCATAAATTGCACCTAGCAACAGGAAAAGAGAAGGAAATAAGCATCAAGAAAGTCAGAGAGAATTATGCAAGACAGCGCAAGCATAGTAAAGCAGCTGCTCACTAAATGCACAAAATTCTTTTCAATTATTGATTCAGGTTGTGTGTTCACACTGGAGGAGACTATTCATTTATCTGTGTACAATGGACCAGATTCAGCACATTCATCGGCGTTACAGGGTAATCCTATACGACAGCACTGCCCGGTGAGTCAGTCAGTGAAATAGGTGCAAAGTGACCCTCTGGGACCAGATATATTACCGAGTGGTACTTTTTGTGTCTATTAAACACTCTCTTTCTCTAGTTGAAATATAACTACCTTTTACTCAGTGTATACGCCTATGTACTTAAGATATTTACCCGCTAACGGTGCACTGATCAGAACTCCGATTCCGTCGGGAACTAACGTCATAATCATAACACCTTTGGTGCCATACTGCTCGTGGAACAGTTCAGCTGCAGCTGTAAATTGTGTTGCATAGACGCTTGACCGTAGAACCCCAGAGACTGGAAGCCATTACAAACAAACAAACAAGCAAACAGAAGACAAACAATCTAAACAGTGTGAATAAAACATTTCCACTGACGTTACAAAGTTGTGTGATTTAGTGTTTAGGCTATCAGATCAAAACAATGGAACTGTTTGACGGTTTCAAGAATTTTCGTTGGAAGTCAATGTCAACCAACATGTGGCGACCATTCCCTCCGAAAGACACAAAATTGTTTTCATGTGCATATATTCTATCGTTTTGCTTCATCAGCGCGCGAGTGGCAAAAATGTTGAACCTCCTACCACTTATTCCCTCATGAATAACGCGTATGTTAAGGAGAATATTACTTGTCCTGCCTTTTTGTTGTTAACGGGTAGAATAGGTCATTTGTTATGCATTTGTTTCGTTTGGAGTAACAAAAGTACTCAAATCTAAAGACGGCCGGGTGCTTAACAACTAACCTGATGAAGTATTAGCTCTGTGTGAATATGTACATTCCCAGAAAACACTAATCTAGGATCTCGATTTCAAAAAGAAGGAGAAAAGAAATAAATTGCCCGAATTCCGAGCATCCGGAAAGTGTTTTCAGTCGCATACGTATTTCGTACGCTTGCCATTTCAATATAGCCCCTACGTATCTCGAATTCGCATCAAGAGATTAGCTGTTGTCTTGCACTAAAAACCAGAAAACATTATGCCTGGACTTACTCACTGCAAGAAGCACCATCACACCAAACGTCTTGGCAATGGTCATCAAGCCCAGAACGACGGTTCCCAGGAGACATGAGGCCATCAATAGATAAAGATACAAGAAAGGCAGACGATCTCCAATCACGGCTATGAGGAACTTCCCGCCAAGTTCCGCCAAAGCAAAGTACATGATGACGGAGGCAATTTGGTTGCTGTCCAGAGCAAGTCCGTGCATCAAACTAGCCTGCAAGAAAAAAAAACCAAGTTTACTTTTATATTCAAACTTTGAGCCGGTCAGATCGAGAACGTTGGCTTACCAAAGTTGGGTAGAGACGACGGGGAGGGGGGGGGGGGGTTGTGCGTTCGAGAAACATGACCCCTCACCGAAAGAAGCTGCACAAACTGCATGTACAAACCGTCTATAGACGAGACCTTATACAGCTGTAGTACAAATATTACAAACTGTTCATGTATCAAACTTGGTTGTCCCAAACTTATAGATTAGTATGTTATAGTTTAGAATTTAAACAGTTGATGTGTGGTTACATTATTTTGAGATGGTGGTTCAGAAGCTTTACGTTTATACTGTACAACAGCATAAATAGATGACTGAGCACCATTGATTCTAACACATCAAGCAAAACCAATCTTCTGTAACATTTTAACTGACGACTTGAGATTGCCTTCCAGTTACATTCTTCTGAAATTTTACAATTCTGATCAGAACCAATTTTGGACCTCCTCAAAAACCAAAGCTATTAAACTAAACATGCCCCAAAAGGTTAACAATTTCCCCTACATGTGGATTTGTGGGAAACGTACGTAATTAATATTGAAGAAAGTCCAGCCCACGTATGAGAAAACCGAAGCCAAGTACCACGCCCAAGCCTCAGGGTTCGTTAAAGCACTAATTAGCCTTCCACGAAAATGCCTCTTATCTCCAACTTCGAGAGATCCTTGATTTGAAATGTGTGCTTCCTCATTGTTGGTAGTTTTATCGTCAGTTTCTCTTGCTTCATCGTCAGTCTCTTCAATGCAGCCGTCATCATGAACCTGCTTCCCCGGGACCATGCTCTCCAATTCATGTTTCTCATCACCAGGAGACTCATCGGGCGCCCTAGCGTAGTCCTCGGTTGATGGTGGGTCAGCCAGCAGCAGACCGTCAGCTATCCCGATCACCGTATTCCACCGCTGAGAATTCTCAGCGCATTACGCCATCCGTAGTGAGTTATTAAGGCTGTCAACAAAGGGCTAAAGGCAAGCATACCTGCATATCAGACAGATTAACAGAGCAATTTGCAATTACAATAACATTAAAATAGTCTACAGTAGACTAGAATATAGTACACTATATAGAATAAATCATACAGTTCCTTTCTGTATAAGGTCCACGGCAGTGCATTATGGAGTCAATCATTAACCTGCACGTCTCTACCGACTTTTAATAACTCTAACCGCTAGAAATTGGATCAAAACTGCGTTTAGTTCCATAAAAGACAAGAAAAAACTGTGTGTGTCTACATAGTTGTGGGAAACTATCATCGCATTTACCGGTTGTGGATCCCATTAGAGCGAGGGCGCTTGCCCGCGAGAAGTTCGCCTTGGCAAACCAGTCCAGCAGCAGGGCCAAGGAGGAATTCGTAGCTAGGTTGGCGCCCACGCCCGTCAAGATCGAAAACGTGAAGAACACGTATCCCAGTGTTGGCACGGGAACGAGTGACGTCGTCAACAGTCCTGCGCAGAAGGCAATCACTCCCAAGATGGCGACGGTCCGACTGCTCAGCTTGTTTGTAAGGAGATAGCAGAGAGGACTAGCAAGGCAAGCCAGTGCAATTGACAGAGACCCTAGCCAACCTGAAAGCGAAACAGGCATTATATAAAATAATCCTAAAGCATACTTGTTGTACCTTCACAATAATTCTTTTAGTAGACACTTTTTAATATTTGTACCACTTCAAAGAGGAGACACTGTTTTTAAATACTATGTAGATGCTATTCGACCCCTGGTTAGTCTTAAATCAGAAATCTAAAGAAGTCTTTATTTATTTAATTAGGCTAAATTTGTTGTTCTATTTCTGGTTACGTGTACTCTTGTCAGTGTTCTTATACGCCTATTTGTACATTTACGTTATATGTTTTTTTGGTTTTAATGTGAAGTTTTTAAGTGTTTTATACATTATATTTGTGTGCAGAACGAGGAGACAAGTTTCATGTTTTTACATGATGAGAATAAATAAATAAATAAATAAATAAATAAATAAATAAATAAATAAATAAATAAATAAATAAAAATAAATAAATAAAGTCTGGTCCCCTGCGACTAACCAATGTTAACATAATGCAAAAAAAAAATAAAAAAAATCCCTGAATATAAACGTCACCACCCTTGCAAACCTTGATTCATCGCTTTACGCATGCAGACTGTTTTTTTGGCAGCGCTTTAGTTTCCAAACGCTGCTTGGCAACGACTTCGAACGGCCCGGCTGTAGCCAGCATCAGGCATGCCCAAATCAAGTTCTCATCTCGCTGGATCGTATTTCCGTACTAACCTGTCAACGCCGAACTGGAATGGAAATCCTCCTGCAGGCTCACAAACAGTATGCTGAAGTTGAACAGGAGTCCACGAGTTAAGACAAACAGACCGAAAGTCGCGAATGTGACGACCCAACGCCACCATCCGCAACGGGACCCTGATGGGCACACCATGTCAGCTGTACCAGTCTCAGAATACGCATCCGTTACTGTCGCAGCATTTCACTCCGGCCTTCAGTCCTTCCTGTTCAAAAAATCATAAAATTGGTCACTTCCTGAAACCGATGAATTCTTGAGAAAACTTAATGTTGTTTCCAGACCAAAAGATTCCGCCATATCTGACGGATAACTTAGGAAATGTAGATGTCAATGTCGCATGACCAAACAGACACGGAACAGCGTTGAAACTCAAGTACACGATCGGACGAGAACAGGGCGATTTACTGTGTCGTGCTCTATTTTTGAATGTGACGTCTACACCAACAAATGATCTATAAAAGACGTCATTGGATCGTTCTCATAAGAGCAATGAAAAGACTTCAGGCAGTCAATCCGGTGTTTGCTCGTCACGGTTCCACACCATAAAACCAAGCCACTACATGAATTTCTTACCGTTTTGCCAAAAAGGAAATTCACGCTGTTCAAAGTCTTCTTAACATGAGTTTCTAATGTCGCACATCGATGTTGCACAATACAATTCACAACAAATGTCTTTGCAGTGTTATTATGATGCGAAAAGACAGTGTGTGCCCTCTCGGTGTCCGGGTTCTATCGATGGTTTCTGCAAAAAGCCTTTTAAAATAAACAATGGTAGCGTTTGAGCAAAGGTCAAGATAATAATCAGCGCGATAAAGTGTATATTTGTATTAGTCCCGCCAAATAACAATAAAAATGGACTGGTGGCTTACCTGGCCGCCGATAAAAAAAATGACCGAGCCTATCGGAGTCGGGACATCGTTGTTTGAACTCTGATCGGTGTTAAAAGTCTACCCACGTGGCGGGCTATTGGCCAACAGGAATGGGTAAACTGTCTCAGGTATTTTAATATGAAATAATTAAAGTGAGGAAGGAATATTTCTCAAAAGACGTGAAGCCTATCTTGGGTTTGTGTTGTGGAGAACAAGGCATTAGATATGCATGTAATGGACCAAACAGAAGATGGGATATGAATGTCGCTTGGGATAAAAAAGATTCGCGGGCCAGCCAGGCCTTCTTATCCCCCCAACCCATTTCGTTTCCGAAGCCACCTGGGTACATACACATATACTGTAGTGGAGACCAGCTAACTAAAATAATTTCAAGAATTTTATATAATAAACAAAGTTCATTCAGTGTTAATTCTGTTTTGCAAGGAACGATCTAAGGGGGAAACTTTAAGTCTCCTGTGGTTTTTTATTCTATTTCCGAGTCCAACTACTGCATGATCCACAACAGATCCAGCCAACAACAATAAATCCACTCAAAAGATACCAATTCTCATTAGGAGGTCCACGTTTAATAATCAAGGCAGTCAAGAAATCCAAATCGGAAATCATAAAAAAAGATCGCTAAAATGATAACAGTAATGTGGTGCTTATATATAGCGCTTTATACCAAAGGTCTCAAAGCGCTTCAACAATATTACCTCTGTTCGTCAGGCCACGAGACCAGTTTTTGCAGCAGCTGGAGCTGAGCGTATTCTGGTCTCTACCTTCACCGGTGCCCATATAATACTCCTGGGTGGAGAGAGGCAATTGTAGTAAAGTGTCTTGCCCAGAACACAAGCATCATGTTCCCCGTAAGGGTTCGAATCTGCGTACCACGGCACGTGAGTCGAACCATGGAGCAAGGAAATCCGTTTTCCTTGCTCCATGGTCGAACACCGTAAACATTGGACCGCAGCGCTCCAGCCTGAAAATACACCCTGAATATCAGCCATATGGTTGCGAAGGGCGATTTCTAAAGGTTACGATAACACTTTATTTTGAATGAAACTACATGTTCACAGACATGGTCACGTTGGCGGGTGAAATCTTTGAAAATTAATTTCTCCAGTTTGGAAGACCGTATCTTCATACAACTTTCAGGATTTATTTCCCCCATAATGATCCAAGTATGTGCTAAAAGTCGTTGTGATATGTTCATTACTTTTCGTTGAAATCGGAAAAATAGGTCTCGCTACGTGCAATTTTGAAAATTGTAACACTGGCGTGCGCAATATCTATCAATCTTTTCAAGCCTCACGAATATTAATTAGGTTCCTATCCATTACGGTGTGCAGTAAACAATGGGATAAAAGCCTCCTTCACGAGTTGTTAATTAACAAATATCACCCTTTTTGCCGGCTTCCATTGGTCGATGCCGAGACCCACGCCATGTCACGCCGAGTGACGCTAATGAATATGCTAATATGCCCGTCATCAATGTGTGCTGGGCCGAAATCGGTCAGCCGTAGCGCCTACGGCGCTTTGCTGAACAATGCACACGGGTTGGGTCGGCAAACAATTTTTTTGTTTTTCTTCCCGATGGAGATTGTTGTAACACTAGCCTCCGCAACAACAGATTAAGCTGAAATTCGGAATATACTTAGACGATATAAGTGTTCAACTCACTCCCAGTTCAACAACTGGGATAAATTCCTAGGAATTGGGATAAATACATACATTTGGGGAAGTTTTCGAACGATTTCTTCCAGGCTTGAAGGTCAGCTTTGATAGTAACCAGTACTGAGGTTTCGGCATGGATGACCGCGATTTTTTTTACTGCCATGAAGTTTAGAATTTCTTCTTCAGTTGGAATGTAACATTTCAATCATACCGAGCATATTTTTCTGAGAAACACAACGTTCAAAATGCCATGTTTTGGGGGGTTCGTGAATTTCACTGCTCAGTTATAGCGTCTGAAGAATGAATTGTAATTTCGATAAATTGCACATTGAGAAAAGCAGCGGTATAATGTTGATGCATGGGCCGTTTGTGTTTAAAATATCGGGCACTTTGATGGGACGCATGGCATGTTCGCTTAAAAATGACGGATTCAAACAACTTATTTCAGTGTCACGCCGATGTTCTATTCATATTATCGTAAACCATTATTATGCTATCCTTTTTTTCACCGTGGGAACCCCAGTGATGGCAAAAGCATTGAGCTAGCTATCGTTCTGATAATCCGTCACGGGGAAGTTGCTTTGTACATTAGGGTGCACAATGGTTTCTCCATTGAAGGGGGCCTCGGGAGTGTACAGTGATCACGTGCCAGGGTTCGTCATTATTTTTGAAACGAAATTCGGGACACAATCTCCAAATTCGTATAGAGGGCGGGCGTGTTTACACAACATGCACGGCCTGATTAATTCTCCTTCTTACTGGAATAAATATATAGGCCGCTGAAGCGCAAACGAAGAGGGCGGCAATGACAAGAAGACTAAGAACGTAGTCACCTGTGACGTCATAGATTGCACCTAGCAAAAAGAAAAGAGAAGAAAATAAGCACTTATGCTAGACAACGCAACATAGTAAGCTGCTCACTGAATGCACACAATTCTTTCTAATAATTCAGGCTGTGTGTTCACACTGCATGGAGGAGACTGTTCTTGTATCTGTGTACAATGGGCCAGATTTAGCACATCCACCGGCGTTACAGGGTAATCCTATATGACAGCACTGCCTGGTGAGTAGGTCAATGAGTGAAAAAAGTATTGCATGTATTACCGAATGGTACTTTTTGTGTCTAATAAACTCTTTCTCTAGTTGAAATAACATGTACACCCATGTGTTGGACGTATTTACCCGCTAACGGTGCACTGATCAGAACTCCGATTCCGGAGGGAACTAACGTTATAACCATAACACCGTTAGTGCCATACTGCCCGTGGAAAAGTTCAGCTGCGGCTGTAAATTGTGCTGCATAGACGCCTGACCGTAGAACCCCAGAAACTGGAAGCCATAACAAACAAACATAAGACAAACAAACCGAACAATGTGAATCAAACACTCCACGGACGTTATAACGTTGTGTGACACAGTGTTTAGGCTTTTCAAGAACGAATAATGGAAATGTTTGACCGTTTTGAGAATTTTCGTTGGAATACAATATCAGCCAACATGGAGCGGCCTTTAATTGTCTTGATGTGCATTCTATCGTTTTGCTTCATCAGCGAGCGAGTGGCAATTCTTGTTTGAAACTCTGTCTACTGATTCCCTCATTAATATTGCGTATTACACTTCTAGATCACACAGTGAACAGTGCAAGTTTAGGCTGTGAACGTATTCGTACCGGGCACCACTTAGGACGGGACGCTGTATCAATCGCGGCACGTATCACGTTTCTCGATCGGAATACAGCTCACTAACCTTCCGGAATTGTCCTGTCTTTTTTGGTTGTTTACAGATCATTTGTCATCTGTGCATTAGCAATAATTAAGAGATAAGTTGTTGTCTTGCACTAAAAATCTGAGAACATGCCTTGACTTACCCACTGCAAGAAGTACCATTACACCAAACGTCTTGGCAATGGTCAGAAACCCCAGAACGACGGTTCCCAGGAGACAGGAGGCCATCAACAGATAAAGATACAAGAAAGGCAGACGATCTCCAATCACGGCTATGAGGAACTTCCCGCCAAGTTCCGCCAAAGCAAAGTACACGATGACGGAGGCAATGCGGTTGCTGTCAAGATCAAGTCCGTCCAGATAATTAGCCTGCAAGAACCAAAGCATTGTTTTTTAATTCAAACTTTGAGCCTGTAAGATCGAGAACGTCAGCTAACCATAGATGGGTAGAGACGATGGGGGGGGGGGCTGTTGTGCGTTCGAGAAAACTGACCTCTCACCAAAAGAAAGGAAAAATAAACCAAGTTTATGTTTGTGGACAAACACAGGGCTGTTTCGGCATGTTTTTGTTGCATTTTTATGTCATGTAATAGACTGATAGAAAAACGCAGTTGAAAAATGCAGAGTGATCAGAGCCAATGGTTAAAAAAAAAAATCGTTGGAAGCAAGTGCGCATATTTTACCACTTTCAAATTACAAGGCACTTCCGGTTAAAACCGGAAGGAAGGGTCACGTGATTTAGAACGTTATATCAAAAAACAAAATCAGATCTCTCACAGTTGATTTTATATTGATTTTAAAAGAGTAAATCTAGAAATCTTTGGTTGCTTGTAATCTGATACTTAATTACCTCATTGTAACGTCATTACCAAAAAGCTCGAGAACTATGCTAACTGTGCTATTTGAGGCAAAAAACAGGAGTAAATTTCGTGATTTTCGGTGACGTCATCAATTTTTCTGCCCTTCGCCATACACATCAACTGATTATTTATTTTAAACATTTTTCAACCTGCCGCTAATAATATCTTATGATGTCACCAGAATTTTTTTTTGAAGGACAACCTAGCAAGAGACTAACATCGTTGAAAGCAAGTTCACTTGTTTTTCTACTCTCAAATTACAAGGCACTTCCCCCTTGGACCGGAAGGAAGGGTCACGTGATTTGACACACACGAAAAAAAAAATGAAGATCCTGGATATTTCATCAATTCCCGCAAAAGTCAAGTTCAGGTCTCCCACGGTTGATTTTATACTTTAGCGTGACATCACGTGACCCATGATGATGTCATCATGACGTCACTCCATTTGTCATTTAAAACACATCCCGGTCTAGGTACATACCAAGTTGCACTCCAATCGGACATGTAGTTCCGGAGATATAGACGTTCTAAATATGCACCTTTATTGTGACGTCAAGTGACACGTGATGATGTCATGATGACGTCAATATTTGGCACACATCTGCAGCTGTTTGTCTAAGTGTGCCAAGTATAAAGGCAATCGGATTGATTTTAGAGGCCAAAGTGCCAGGAACAAAAAAAAAGTGTACAAATGCTATTTAAAAATGACTTTTCCGACCTATTCCGAATGACACCTGCTTTTGTAATTTAAGAAAGTTTTTGAAGGTGGAAAATGCGATTTTCTTGCGCAAGTTACGTTTCGGCTGGGTCAAAACTACCCCAACCCCTATCCCGCCGCCAGGCGCATTGACGTGTATAAAGGGATGTTGCGCAATATCGCATTTCTTGACCAGTTAACCCCAGATTTCGGCTCAACAAAAAAAGCCTGCAATCTGTCTACGACATGGCTGTTCACAACAAAAACGTACAAGTATAGATTGTGTTCAGCCATCGGGAAATGTGTCCCATACTCCACAATCGCAATAAAAGAGCAAAAACAATGGCTGGTTCGGCTGTTTGCCGAAACAGCCAAATCAGAGTGGTCTGTACAAACTGCACAAACTGCATGTACAAACCGTCTATAGCGGAGACTTAAAAACGTCCATAAACAGTACAAATATTACAAAGAGTGTGTCAAACATAGGTAATCCAAAACTAATAGATTTTGCATTTGAGATGGTGGTTTAGAAGCTTTACGTTGATTCGTAATTGCACAACAGAAGTAATACATGACTGAGCACCATTGATTCTCACACATACGGCAAAAAACATCTTTTATACAATAGGAATTGCCGACTAAATTAACCTTCCAGTTACATTCTTCTTGAATTTTACAGAAACAATATTGGACCTCAATAACCAAAGCCATGAAACTAAAGGCGCTAAGAAAAGGGCAACATTTTCCCCAACATATAGATTTGTGGGAAACATACGTAATTAGTATTGAAGAAAGTCCAGCCCAAAAATGAGAAAACCGCAGCAAAGTGCCATGCCCAAGCCTCAGGGTTCGTTAAAGCACTAATTAGCCTTCCACGAAAATGCCTCTCATCTCCAACTTTGAGAGATCCTTGATTTGAAATGTTTGCTTCCTCGTTGTCGGTGGTTTTGTCGTCAGTTTCTCGTGCATCATCGTCAGTCCCTTCAATGCAGCCGTCATCATGAACCTGCTTCCCCGGGACCATGCTCTCCAATTCATGTTTCTCATCACCAGGAGACTCATCGGGCGCCCTAGCGTAGTCCTCGGTTGATGGTGGGTCAGCCAGCAGCAGACCGTCAACTATCCCGATCACGAGTATTCCACCGCTGAGAATTCTCAGCGCATTACGCCATCCGTAGTGAGTTATGAAGGCTGTCAACAAAGGGCTAAAGGCAAGCATACCTGCATAAATTATCGAACAGAGTAAGAGAGAACATCAATTGCCATGAATTATATTAAACTATCATCATACAGTCGCTTTCTGTAAGGTACGGTGCAAGATAATTTTGAACGAATTAAACATTTTACTTTACCGAATGTGGATCCCATTTGAGCGAGGGCGCTTGCCCGCGAGAAGTTCGCCTTGGCAAACCAGTCAAGCAGGAGGGCCAAGGAGGCAGTCGTGGCCAGGTTGGCGCCCACGCCCGTCAAGATCGAAAACGTGAAGAACGCATATCCCAGCGATGGCACGGGAACGAATGACGTCGTCAACAGTCCTGCGCAGAAGGCAATCACCCCCAAGATGGCGACGGTTCGACTGCTCAGCTTGTGTGTAAGGAGAGAGCATAAAGGACTAGCAATGCAAGCCAGTGCAAGTGACAAAGACCCTAGCCAACCTGAAAGCGAAACAGGCATAACAATGATAAAATAACCCCGAAGTATACTTTTAATCTTTATAGCAATCATTCTGTTAGTAGGCCTAGACACTTTTAAATAATTTTACCACTTCAAGAGGAGAGACTGTTTTTAAATACAATGTAGATGCTACTCGTCCCCTGGTTTAATAGTCTGGAATCGGGAATCTAAACAAATCTAGGCCCCTGCGACTGCCCAATGTTAACATAATGCAAATTAACATAAAGCAAAAACTCTTTCATGAAGTTCCCTGCCGGTAACGTCATCACTCTGTCTTGCAGACCTTCATTCACCGCTTTAAGCATGCGGTCTTTTTATGACAGACCTAAGCTTCCAAACGGCTTGCCAACGACCACGAACGGTCCGGCTGTAGCCGGCATCAGGCATACCGAAATCAAGTTATCATCTCGCTGGATCGTATTTCCGTACGAACCTGTCAACGCCGAGCTGGAATGGAAATCCTCCTGCAGGCTCACAAACAGAATGCTGAAGTTGAACAGGGGTCCGAGAGTTAAGAAAAACTGACCGAAAGTCGCGAATGTGACGACCCAACGCCACCATCCGCAACGGGACCCTGATGGGCACACCATGTCGTCTGTACCAGCCTCAGAATACGCATCCGTTACTGTCGCAGCATTTCATTCCGGCCTTCAGTCCTTCCTGTTCAAAAAATCATAAAATTGGTCACTTCCTGAAACCGATGAATTCTTGAGAAAACTTAGTGTTGTTCCCAGACCAAAAGAGTCTGCCATATCTGACGGATACTTAGGAAATGTAGATGTCATGTCGCATGACCAAACAGACACGGAACAGCGTTGAAACTCAAGTATATTAATTCACGATCATCGGGACGAGGGCCGGGCATGGCAATTTCCTGTCGTGCTCTATTTTTTTAATGTGACGACTACACCAACCAGTGATCTATTAAAAGACGCCATTGGATCGTTCTCAAAAGATCAATAAAAGGACTTCAGGCAGTCAATCCGATGTTGGCTCTTTCCACACCATGAAACCAAGTCACTACATGACTTTCTTACCGTTTTGCCAAAAAGGAAATCCGCGCTTTTCAAAGTCTTCTTAACATGAGTTTGTAATGTCGCACATCGATGTTGCACAAAACAATTCACAACAAATGTCTTTGCAATTTCAACATGATGCGAAAAGACAGTGAGTGCACTCCCGGTGTCCGGGTTCTATCGATGGTTTCTGCAAAAAGCCTTTAAAAACAAACAATGGTAGCGTTTGAGCAAAGGTCAAGATAATGATCAGTGCGATAAAGTCTGACAAAGAAAAAGGAAATTCAAAGGGTACAATTGCACAATCGCTGGCATAATCGACAAAATCAAGTTCAATCTCTGACTCTGGCTTTCCAACTGGAGTTCGTACGACACAGACTTTTATATTTGTATTAGTCCCACCATATAACAATAAAAATGGATTGGTGGCTTACCTGGCCGCCGATCAATAATGACCGAGCCTATCGGAGTCGGGACATCGTTGTTTGAATTCCGATCGGTGTTAAAAGTCTACCCACGTGGCGGGCTATTGGCCAACAGGAATGGGTAAACTGTCTCAGGTATTTTAATATGAAATAATTAAAGTGAGGAAGGAATATTTCTCAAAAGACGTGAAGCCTATGTTGGGTTTGTGTTTTGGAGAACAAGGCATTAGATATGCATGTAATGGACCAAACAGAAGATGGGATATGAATGTCGCTTGGGATAAAAAGATTCGCGGGCCAGCCAGGCCTTCTTATCCCCCCCAACCCATTTCGTTTCCGAAGCCACCTGGGTACATACACATATACTGTAGTGGAGACCAGCTAACTAAAATAATTTCAAGAATTTTATATAATAAACAAAGTTCATTCAGTGTTAATTCTGTTTTGCAAGGAACGATCTAAGGGGGAAACTTTAAGTCTCCTGTTGTTTTTAATTCTATTTCCGAGTCCAACTACTGCATGATCAACAACAGATCCAGCCAACAACAATAAATACACTCAAAAGATACCAAGTCTAATTAGGAGGTCCACGTTTAATAATCAAGGCAGTCAACCGAATCCAAATCGGAAATCATAAAAAAAGATCGCCAAAATGATAACAGTAATGTGGTGCTTATATATAGCGCTTTATACCAAAGATCTCAAAGCGCTTCAACAATATTACCTCTGTTCGTCAGGCCACGAGACCAGTTTTTGCAGCAGCTCGAGATGAGCGTATTCTGGTCTCTACCTTTACCGGTACCCATATATACTCCTGGGTGGAGAGAGGCAATAGTAGTAAAGTGTCTTGTCCCAGAACACAAGCATCATGTTCCACTTAAGGGTTCGAATCCGCGTACCACGGCACCTGATCAGGAGTCGAACACCGTAAACATTGGACCACAGCGCTCCACCCTTAAAATACACCCTGAATATGCATGAATATAAAAACCAGACGCTCATTTTTCTGCTGAATCTATAGACCATGCGGAGATCGTAGATTCCTAATTACTGATTTTGCGGAAAGAATGAATGGAATTTCGATTAATTGCTCATTGAAAAAAGCAACGGTATAATGTTGAGGCTTGGGCCGTTTCTGTTTAAAATATTGGGCACTTTGATGGGACCCATAGCATGTTTGCTTAAAAATTACGGATTCTGTTCTATTCATATTATCGTAAACCATTATTATGCTATCCCTTTTTCACCGTGGGAACCCCAGCTATGGCAAAAAGCATTGAGCTACAATCCTGGCCTAATCTCGCTGGACCCCCCCCCGTTCAATGTTGTCTCTCATTGTCCGGTGTGTGCTCCATCAGCTGGAACCCCAGCTATGGCAAAAGCACTGAGCTACAATCCTGGCCAAATCTAACTGGGCCCCCAACCCCCCGTTCAATGCTGTCTGTCATTGCGCGGTGTGTGCTCCATCAGCTGGAGAGAACAACATTGACAGGGGGAGCGGGGGATTGGGTGACCGTGGCAGGCTCAAGAAGTGTCCCTACCATTTTGGCCAGGATTGTAGCTATCGTTCTGATAATCCGTCACGGGGAAGTTGCTTTGTACATTAGGGTGTACAATGGTTTCTCCGTTGAAGGGGGCCTCGGGAGTGCACAGTGATGACGTGCCAGGATTCGTCATTATTTTTGAAACGAAATTCGGGACACAATCTCCAAATTCGTATACAGGGTGGGCGTGTTTACACAACATGCACGGCCTGAATAATTTTCCTCCTTACTGGAATAAAAATCAAGGCTGCTGAAGCGCACAGGAAGAGGGCGACAATAACAAGAAGACTAAGAACGTAGTCACCTGTGACGTCATAGATTGCACCTAGCAAAAAGAAAAGAGAAGAAAATAAGCACTTATGCTAGACAACGCAACATATAGTATAGCTGCTCACTGAATGCACACAATTATTCTTTTCAATAATTCAGGCTGTGTGTTCACACTGCATGGAGGAGACTGTTCTTGTATCTGTGTACAATGGGCCAGATTTAGCACATTCACCGGCGTTACAAGGTAATCTTATACGACAGCACTGCCTGGTGAGTAGGTCAATGAGTGAAAAAAAGGCATTGCATGTATTACCGAATGGTACTGTTTGTGTCTAATAAACTCTTTCTCTAGTTGAAATAACATGTACATCATTTACCCGCTAACGGTGCACTGATCAGAATTCCGATTCCGGAGGGAACTAACGACATTACCATGACACCGTTAGTACCATACTGCTCGTGGAAAAGTTCAGCTGCGGCTGTAAATTGTGTCCCAAAGACGCCTGACCGTAGAACCCCAGAAACTGGAAGCCAAGCATAAGACAAACAAACCGAACAATGTGAATCAAACATTCCACGGACGTTATAAAGTTGTGTGACTCAGTGTTTAGGCTATTATGCCAGAACGAATAATGGAAATGTTTGACCGCTTCTAGAATTTTCGTTGGAAGACAATATCAGCCAACATGGAGCGACCTTTAATTGTCTTGATGTGCATTCTATCGTTTTGCTTCATCAGCGAGCGAGTGGCAATTTTTTTTTGAAACTCTGTAAAGACGGGTGCTTAACAGGTAACCTGATGGGTAGATGCTGTACATTCTGAGAAAACAATATTCTAGGATCTCGATTTCATTTCAAAAGTTGCAACCAAAATCCGAGCATCCGGAACACGCTCTCAATAACAGAATGCCTACCATATATGGTCCCTAAGTATCTCGAAGTAGCAATAATTAAGAGATAAGCTGTTGTCTTGCACTGAAAAAACCTGAGAACATGCCTTGACTTACCCACTGCAAGAAGCGCCATCACTCCAAACGTCTTGGCAATGGTCAGAAACCCCAGAACGACGGTTCCAAGGAGACATGAGGCCATCAATAGATAAAGATACAAGAAAGGCAGACGATCTCCAATCACGGCTATCAGGACCTTCCCGCCAAGTTCCCCCAAAGCAAAGTACACGATGACGGAGGCAATGCGGTTGCTGTCCAGACCAAGTCCGTCCATAAAACTAGCCTGCAAGAACCAAAGCAATTTTGTTTTGTTGTTGTGCGTTCGAGAAACATTACCCCTCACCAAAAGAAGGGAAAAATAAACCAAATTTATGTTTGTGGACAAACACAGGGCTGTCTCGGCAATATTTTGTTGTATTTTTGATGTTATGTTATAGAATGATAGAAAAATGCAATAGAAAAATGCAGAGTGGTTAGAGCCAATTGTAATTTTCTTTTTAAAACATCGTTGAAAGCAGGAGCATATCTTTTACCAATTTCATGTTACAAGGCAATTTAAGACAACACCAGTATTTTTTGTAATTTACAATCTAGCAAGAGGCTAACATCGTTGAAAGCGAGTTCACTTGTCTTCTACTTTCAAATTATAAGGCACTTCCGGTTACGGAGAAAAACATGGAAAAACGTACAAATAATACAAAGAATATGTCAAACATGGTAATCTCAAGAGATGGTGGTTTAGAAACTTTACGTTGATTCTTAACCAACATCATTAGCAGATGACTGAGCACCATTGATTCCCACATACATCTTCTGTACAATTTCAAGTGACGACTTGAGATTACCTTCCACTTATATTTGTCTTGAATTGTATAATTCTGATCAGAAACAATACTGGACCTCAATTACCACAGCTATAAAACCAAAGCTCCTTAGAAAAAGGCAACATTTTCCCCAATATTTGGATTTTTGGGAAACGTACGTAATTAGTATTGAAGAAAGTCCAGCCCACGAATGAGAAAACCGCAGCCAAGTACCACGCCCAAGCATCAGGGTTCGTTAAAGCACTAATCAGTCTTCCACGAAAATGTCTCTCTTCTCGAACTTCGAGAGATCCTTTATTTGAAATGTGTGCTTCCTCATTGTTGGTACTTTTGTCGTCAGTTTCTCGTGCATCATCGTCAGTTTCTTCAATGCAGCCTTCATCATGAATCTGCTTCCCCGGGACCATGCTCTCCAATTCATGTTTCTCATCACCAGGAGACTCATCGGGCGCCCTAGCGTAGTCCTCGGTTGATGGTGGGTCAGCCAGCAGCAGACCGTCAGCTATCCCGATCACGAGTATTCCACCGCTGAGAATTCTCAGCGCATTACGCCATCCGTAGTGAGTTATTAAGGCTGTCAACAGAGGGCTGAAGGCAAGCATACCTGCATATCAGACAGATTAACCAAGAAAATTGCCATTAAAATGAAATATAAATTAGTCTAGTAGACTAGAATATACTAGTGCATTATTTGAACGAGTCAAACAATCATTAACGTCTTTTCCGACTCTTAAACACTCTCATCGCTAGAAATTGGATTCGTTCTTTAGAAGACAAGGAAAAACTGTGTATGTCTACATAGTTGTGGGAAACTATCTTCAAATTTACCGGCTGTGGATCCCATTAGAGCGAGGGCACTCGCCCGCGAGAAGTTCGCCTTGGCAAACCAGTCCAGCAGCAGGGCCAAGGAAGCATTCGTGGCCAGGTTGACGCCCACTCCCGTCAAGATCGAAAACGTGAAGAACGCGTATCCCAGTGTTGGCACGGGAACGAATGACATCGTCAACAGTCCTGCGCAGAAGGCAATCACCCCCAAGATGGCGACGGCTCGTCTGCTCAGCTTGTGTGTAAGGAGAGAGCAGAGAGGACTGGCAAGACAAGTCAGTGCAATTGACAGAGACCCTAGCCAACCTGAAAGCGAAATGGGGATTATAAAATTACCCTGAGGTTTCTTTTTTACCTGAACAAATATTCTTTTAGTAGGCATTAAACAACTATAGAAGAGAATTAGAGACTGTTTTTAAATCGATGCTATTCGGCCCCTTTCTATAGTCTATGGAATCGTGAAATCTAAATAATCAGGCCCCTCCGACTGACCAATATAGCATATTGCCCCCCCCCCCATTTTTTCTCTCTCATTAAGATCCCTTAATGACGTCATCACTCTGTCTTGCAAACCTTGATTCACCGCTTCAGGCCTGCGGTCTTTTTTTATGGCGGCTCTTAGTTTCCAAACGCTACTTGGCAACGCGGTCCACGAACGGCCCGGCTCTAGCCTGCATCAGGCATACCCAAATCAAGTTCTCATCTCCCTGGATCATATTTCCGTACTAACCTGTCAATGCCGAGCTGGAATGGAAATCCTCCTGCAGGCTCACAAACAGTATGCTGAAGTTGTACAGGGGTCCAAGAGTGAAGAAAAACTGACCGAAAGTCGCGAATGTGACGACCCAACGCCACCATCCGCAACGGGACCCTGATGGGCACACCATATCGGCCGTACAATGCAGCCTCAGAAAGCCGGGCCTTCGCCGTCGCTTCTCCTCGATGTTCTCAGACGTCCGTCTAGAGAATAGAAAGAAAATGACTCTGGAATGGTATACTGAAGTTGAACAGGGGTCCAAGAGTTAGGAAAAACTGACCGAAAGTCGCGAATTGCACGACCCAACGCAACCATCTGCAGTAGGACCCTGCTAATGATGGGCACACCATGTCGGCTATACCGGGCTCAGAATTTGTCACGTTTCATTGCGGTCTTTAGTCCTTCTTGTTTAAAAAATTGATAAAAATGTGTCACTTCCTGAAACCGATGAATTCTTGGGAAAACTTAGTGTTGTTCTAGATGCCAAGCAAGTTCGCATGAAGCCCGGTTCATACTCGGCACGAAAGCGAAAGCGAAGCGAATTCTGGACGGCGAAATCGCGGGGCGAGCGCAGATATTTTGCAGCGAATTTACGCGATGAAATCGCAGCGAAAAATCTCGTTCATACTTCTTGCGAATTTCCGCAAAGGAAATTTTATCGCGACTAGCAATTCTCTGAGCAACAACCACAACGATGGCAGGGCTTGCACCTCAACAAATTCTACTTGCCGCGCATCTCTTGCGGAAAAGAAAACAAAGAATGCATAAGCCGAGGTCAATTTATGTTCGTGAGATAAATCAATTACGGCAACAGGAGGGAGCCCACCACACGCTCGTTCGTGAGATGATATTAGCGGACCACGCTACGTTTTTTAGTTCATTTCGAATGAATCCTTGCCAGTTTGAAAATTTGTTGAAATTAGTTGCCCCGAAAATTCATCACCACCGTACCCACGCCTGGCCGATAAGTGAAGTCGAACGACTGTCGATGACCCTCCGGTATGTATGTCTTATCCCCTTTGTTTACTTTTTAACTGGAAACTCTTGAGGGCGATAGATATGTAAACAAACCAACAGGATACCGCCGCGCGTTCCTTCCTTTGCACTGTGCAGCTGTCTCGCGATCGTGATTGTGTTTGTTTTTATTCTCATATCTGAAGGCTGAATAGTTAATATTAAACTAAACCAGCACCAGAAAGTATGTTGGAACCTGACGTCACTTCAACAGTTGAGTACAAAGTCTATGGAGAGTCAAACATTTCCTGAGAAAATTGGAAATGTTTCTCAAAAATTTAAGTTCTTCAGATTCATGCATGTCTTTTCAACTTTTTCATTGACCAATTAATTGAGATGAAGAAAAACGTGGCGTCAGGTTGCAACATTCTTTCCTCAGCGTCTTCTCGAAAAATATCCACTCCATGTAAGTACTGGTGAGTCTGAAACATGTGTTGGCATTTCTCCAACTTAGACATTTCCGATTATAAATCATTAATTTTAGGATAAACAAGGGGTTTATTTTATTTTTAATTTTTAATTTTATTTTAATTTTGGCGATCATGTAGGGAACAAAATCCACTTTAAAATTACTGGACCAACCAAACTAGTTGGCGACATTCTCAATAAAAAGGTATGTCATGAGAGGGGGCAGGGTTTTGATTTTTGAGGGAAATTTGGGAGTAAAATGACCATTACAGCGCGGTGACAACATGCGACTCGAAAATAAAGATGGCGATCACCGCGCAATGTACAGTGAGCACACACGGCGTGCTGAATTGCAAGGCACAAACTGCGCAGGAAAATCCTGATTTCTACCCCAAGAATCTGTTCAAAATTGCAAAACGGGTGTCATTAGAATTGAGAGAAGTCTGCTTTTGATTGTAAAGGTGATTTTTGAGCAATAAAAAAACATTTTTGACCCTAATTTGATCAAAACAAAACAGGGGCCCTAATTTGTATCATTTATTTCGTTACAGATATCTTGCCACTGGAAATGACCAACAGTCTATTGCTCTCCACTATCGGGTTGGCAAAAGCACCATCTGTGGCATCATCCAGGAAACAACAAATGCCATCTGGGATGTCCTCAGTACTTCTTCCATGGTAGCTCCATCTACACCAGATGAGTGGAGAAAAATAAGCAAGGGCTTTGAAGAAAGATGGAACTTCCCAAATTGCTGTGGAGCTATAGATGGCAAGCATGTTGTTATCCAGTGTCCTGCCCTCTCTGGTTCAACCTTCTTTAACTATAAACATACATTTAGCATTAATTTAATGGCAGCCTGCGATTCTAATTATTGCTTCACGATGTTAGATGTTGGCAGCCCAGGTCGCAATTCCGATGGTGGTGTTTTTGCATCGTCAGGCTTTGGACGAGCTCTTGAAGGCGGTTGCCTACAGCTTCCGGCACCAAGAAGGCTCCCAGGGGGTGAAGAAGAAGTACCGTATGTGTTCACAGCTGATGAAGCTTTTCCGCTTCAGCACCACATCATGCGGCCTTATCCTGGAAGACACCTGGAAGAGAAGAAAGCCATTTTTAATTACAGGCTGTCCCGGGCACGAAGAACTATCGAAAATACCTTTGGTATTTTAGCTGCAAGATGGCGAGTATTTCGCCGTCCCATCCATGCCAACATCCCTAAAGTCATCTCCATAGTCAAGGCCACTTGTGTCCTCCACAACTGGTTAAAAGGTGCCGATCAGCGAGTACCTGGAGAAAGTAGGCATTACTGTCCGCAGAATTTCACAGATGCTGAGAGTGAAAATGGTACAACTGCTCCAGGAGGTTGGCGGGATGAAGTTACTGAAGCTGATGGAATGAGAGAGATCCAACACCTTGGTAGTAACAACTACAGTCTTATCTCTGCAACCATAAGAGAAAGTTTCTGTGAGTATTTTGTATCACCAGATGGAGAAGTCCCTTGGCAGTATGCCCATGTAAGACGAGGCTTCACATCACAAACTCCTGCTAATACACTGTAGTCTAATCCTGTTTTTTGTGTTACGTTTGCAGTCCATCCTGCAGTGATTGCGCCAACAAAATAATATTTCTGCTTCCAATTACATGACATTTGAAAGTGGGGTGTGTGTATCTTTGAAGGTTAAAGGTAATATACGGTGGTTGTTGGTGCCATGATTTCACAGGATGCTTGAGACTCTTATTCGCGTACAGTCAAGTAAGGTTTTTCATCATAATTTGGTAGTTTTATTGTTTTATGTTGCATAGGGCTAGCGATCCCAGATGAAAATCACACAATTCTGCTAAATCAATTTCAAAATTCTTCCAGATTTTACAAAAATCTGCTAAATTACCTAGAATTACACAAAACCTTCAACATAAAAAAGAAATCTTAAATATTTTTTTTTTAAATTGGCACGTGTCTATATTGCCCGTCTAAAATTCTAATTACGTACTTTACTGCACAGTGTGTAGGTGTACAGAGAGCTGCTACTCTTAGACTGGCCTGCCTACATGTGTATTCCCGCTGTTCAAGGGTTTGTTTGAAGCGATTGAAACTTGTACATTTTTTTCTGCTAGGATCACCAATTTTACAGAATTCTGCTAGAAATCTGCTTAAATATCATAATGCTATATTTTCTGCTACTTTCGTTTCTTCAAAAACAATTGTTAGATCTAGCTGAAAATCGGTCACTCTGATGGTGCATGCAAGATTGTTAACTAACACATGTCAAGCAAGGGCACTGTGCAAGTGCTATAATTATGTAAATTTATGCCTGTCACACCTTTAAAGGGCATCTTGTAATTATGAAGATTTTGTAAAATAAACTAGACCTGATGATGTTTATTTTTCTAAAGGCAAGCAGAGGTAACGAGATTAAATTGCAATGACATCCAAACAAAATGTATTACTGAACATAATGGCAAGAAGAAGGACCCTTGGAGTTGTACTGACCTTCTGTGTATAAACAGAAACACACGCTTTACAAAACTTCTAAATTCTTAACATAACTTTTTATTTCATTGCCTGTTGTAAAATTGAAATTACACTTGTAATCATATTCAAGAAGTTGTAAATATATTAAAATATCATAATAATTTTAAACAAAATCATAAATTAGTATACAGACATGACAAACTACATGTACGCTGTGCACACTATAAAGCTTAAATTATTATATTACAATAAATAATGCATAGATCTCTTTTTAACTGTGAGGTGAATGTACATTAAATAATTGAATAATACTCTGTTTTAATTTCAATTTTAAGGACCAGTGTCATCGAAGAATAGGGTGAAAAACCTGGCCTACAAAATGCTTTTTGACAAGTGCTGGCAAAAGTGGACACCGTTGAAAAGTGGAACGTTATGAAAGTTATCAAAATTATCAAAGCAAAAGTACCACAAATATGATTTAAATTAAAGGGAACAACACCACTTTCAATTTCAGTGATGTGGCAGCAGGACTGAATATTGTTAAGTGTATTTTTGTCGAAAACGTTGCTAATTTGTGCGCATGGCGTATTCACTTCCGTACTCCATAGACCTTTATCATGCTGCCACAATTTCAGTCATGTTCCCTGTATCCAATAACAGTACTGAATGATGTTATTGTGCATACCCAAAGTTCCTACTATAATTCTTTTTGTAAATACCTGATCATTTGTATATATATTGTCTCATATTTGTACTGTAAATAAAACATTTGATATTATTGAGACAAACACAAAACTTTGCTCCACCCAAATTATTTTAAATTAGTGGAACCACTCGGTTGTAAGGAGAGTGCCGCATTTTAAAACTTATATATTTCACTCTCCCCGGTTACAATAGTAAGGCCAAAAAAAGTCTTTGGTTTCTGGTATGGTGCTTGCCCCAAAAGTGATGCAGCGACACGGCTATTTATTTTTACTTTGTTTTTCTTCAAATCTCGGCTGACAACTGACAACTTCAAATCTCGGCTGTTGACTGCAGATGGTGCCCGACTAAAATTAGTGCAAAATGTATGGGAGCCCAGAGGGGCCTCATAAAGCTTATACTCGATCGTAACCCCATCTAAAAACACGTTAAAATTGTGCAGCAGCAGGATTCTAGTCAATCAAACCAGTGAGTTTGGTGGTTTTGAGACATCATGGTACATTGGAAAAAAACCCAGAAATAAATGGATTTGGAGGATTAGTATGTTATAGTATACAAATATTGAGTGGATCATCGTGGAATGGGAGGAATATTATCGCAAGCTAAAAACCTGGACTTTTCCATATGAACTGGAAAACTCCCGAGTTTACTGAGCAAGAATATTCCTCCCATTTCACAATTTAAAGCCATTCAATATTTGTGTTATATAACTGACATAAAGATCCTTGTCATTTGATATATATGTGAACTTTTATTCAATACAAAACTGGAGGAAAATGTATTTCTCTCTTCCAAACCACCCCTTCACAAAAATGCTGTAGCACTGGCTCTTTGGAACAATACGCGCTACGCGCAACGCTGAACGCGCACACCAGCATGCATTTGCACACAAATACCGCATTATGATCTTAACTGTTCAATAGTATTTCCCATTCCCCATGGGCGGATAGTACTTTTTGAGCCGCGGCGTGAATGGGAGCAATAACGAATGTCATGTGATGTGAGTTCCACCAATCAAATGACAAGGGTCTGTATGTTGGTTATATAACAAATATTGTTAAACTGACTTGTTTCACTTTTGGGCTTGTAGATGCTGGAAAAACCAAGAAAATCAATCATGTTCTTGTTGTCTGGCTCCCTGACACCCCTTAAGATGAAACAAAGCAATTTAGAGACTTTGGAAAATTGAAAGGTATAAAAAAACAGTCTAGAAGGTTTGTACCCCTTCATAGGATGGGTGTGTAATCACGGACCATTTAAATGGTGTAATCAACTGCAAAGAAAATTTGGAATTCTAAATATGAAAAATTTGGAGTAGTTTTGAAAAAAGCCAGTTTTTCCAACGCTGGTCGGCCGACCAGCTTTGAAAAAATACAATTTTTCTTGAAAATGTCAGCACACCTGGAGCCACGATTTAACAGGATGCTACAAATGAGGAAAGCCTGTTTGCCCAATTTGATCATTCCTTAACAATTCAGAAAGGTATTTTGTGATAATTTGATCATTTCGCTTTTTGATATTTGCAAATGTTGTATCTTCCCTTTAAATATAATTTAGAATTGTGTTTTGTTTTTAGATTTTACTATTCTGCGGGGGAACTTGCTTCGGCTTCAAAGAGGATCTGCATTATCTTCATTTTTGCCAAAGCTTTCTGGGCATTGCCCAACCTTTGCAAAGTCTGCCCAACTGATTGGGCAAACAAGCTATCCTCATTTGTGGCATTGATGCTTTTCAAGAGTGCATCTTCCAAAATATCAAATTCCTGGATTCGCTTCTTGGGTGGGTAAGGAACAGCAAGAATATTCGAGCATGGAAGTTCGTTTCCTGTTGTGCCACTACTGGTGTCATCTTTTGGCTCTTCGAAGCAAACTTCAATATTGCCATGTGTTCTAAAGGTTGAAATAAAAAAGGGGAACAAAGAGGAGACTTTTGAAATGGGTTACACAGCAGATAACAGTCCCCTTTCCACTACGCCTCCTACTCCTGCAACTGGTTGGGGTCTAAAACTACCCATTTCCAGATACATGTACCCGACCCACAAAAGCAAATCATGAGAATCTTCTTTTTTTTTTCTTTAAAAAAAAAGGAAAAAAAATTGAAGGCAATTCCTAAAAAAAGAAAAATTGTAAAGTCAATGCCTATTTACATGTATGTTATTTTTCAAAGCAGCAGTAATTTCAGCTGTATTTTTTTCTATGCTTTTGCAAGATTAGAGTACGTACAGTACAGCTGTACAAAAAAAAAAAAATTCTGATCAATTTGTAAAAGCTGAAACACAAAGTAACCATATAAACCAACATGTGACATCAAAGCAAAACAATTATCCAGTTATCTACTTGTTGAATGACTGCATATGAAGGCAAGGGCATAATAAAGGACCCCCTCATTCCCTTCCTGTTTTTGGCAATAAGGGCAAAGAAAATGTACTATTTCCCCACCTCACACAATATTATTTATTTGGATGGGCTTGAACACTTACTCCACTAAATCCTGAAACTCTCCTAAGAGACTGTCCATTGTGTAGTAATATGTCCACAGCTTCTTATGCTTCCCACTTGCCCCACACTTCAAGGTCCTCAGACGCTTTCTCTCCTTCAAATATGTGTCTTTCAATCCTTTGAATCTTTTTTGACATTCTGAGAGATAAACAGGAATGACTTTGATTAAAAGAAACAAATAAACTATTATTCAAGGGCACAATCAATCAACTTATGAGAAGTAAAGACCAACTGTACATAGGGTCACTCACCATTTAAACACAACTTCAAGAGTTCAAGCTCTTGTTTACTTTTAATAGCCCCATAAATTTGGCTCAAATATTACTAGACTTCCTCTGTAATTTGTAAACATGGTAAAATTAGCCATACAGCAGTAAATCACTATTGTGGGGAAAATTTAATTTTGTGTGGCCTGATAGTTGGATCTAGCAGTCACCCCCTGTGCCACTACGCCAATTATGCTATAGCCTATCCTAGGGCGGATATGGCTCATTCAGTTGTTGGGTACAGCCTAGCCCTAGTCTTAATACATAGTTTAACCATACAGTTGGGCACTAATAGCCAAACTACAGGGTGGATAAAAAAAACCCTGAGATATTACTTATTAGGCCGAGGGTGTAATGTTAAAGAGGAGATTCAACCCTAACAGAGGATATCTCCCTTTGATTCACATGTGCCCTACTTCTGTACTAATGCTAATTACTAACACTAGTACTAGTAGGCCTACAGTAACATGTAGGCCCTAGCCTAGGCCTAATTATCAATAATATCTCGGTTTGGTTTTTTTTAGCCACCCTGTACTATGGGACTGGGACCGAGTAGGATGTATGAGCCATAGTCGGCACGGTTGCCACAGTTGGGGTGCAACATCTCCCATACTATTTTACAACAGCAAGGAATCTCCACACACTAGCCCCATAAATGTGGCCTATTTACTGGACTGCCTCCGTAAACATAGGCCACACATCCACATGTACAAAAACGTGTCACACTTTGCCAAATTGTGACCCGCTCCGCAAAAATGAGTCTGTTGTGTCAAAACTGACATTTTGAGTTAACTACATTAATAAAATGGGAATGAAATAAGCTTTCATTTGGTATATCACGGACCTCTCTAGGACATTTGGTTGCATTGTTGTGTTTGTTTCATTCTGTCAAGTTTTTGCAAAGCTAGAAGTGTCTCAATGGAGAAAATAGGCTTTGAAAAATGACAAATACACTGTAACTAACCAAGAAAAGCACCAAAGATTCATATTTTTTTTTTTTTCTTACAATATTTACATTTCTGTGTAAGATATTGGAACTAAAACTATCAAACAACCAAAATAAAACAAAAACAAAAAATCCAAATTTTGAGAAATTTTTACTGTTTCCATTTCAAAATGGCAAAAGCTTGAATTCAAATTATGCGACATCAGACTCATTTTTGCAGAGCGGGTCACAATTTTGATTTTTGCATTTAGTTTGTAGGTTTTTTTGCTTAAATTAGAAGCATACTCACCCTCTTTATAGGCTAATCAGAAAGTGCTGCCTTTTTCAGATGTATATTTTTCGTGAAATTTCCAGATTCATTTTTACACGTTTGCGTATCAAAATTTCAAGATGAAATTTCACAAAAATTAGACATCTGAAAAAGGCAGCACTTTCTGACTAGCCTATAATTATAAAGAGGGTGGGTATGCTTCTAAAGCAAAACAATAGGCCTACTACAAACTAAGCCTAAATGTGAAAATCAAAATTTGGCAAAGTGCGACACGTTTTTGTACATGTGGATGTGTGGACTATGTTTACGGAGGCAGTCCAGTAAATAGGCCACATTTATGGGGCTATCCACACACATGACACAGCACAGGCCAACCAAAATTGAAAGTTGAACTTGCCTGTCGGCGAGTACCCTTCTCCGATAGTCTGGGCAATATTCCTCCAGCTGTTGGATTTCTTTATCTGATCCTTGTAGTCTACTAGTGATGTGTTGTACAAGTGCGGGAAACCTCTCACAAGTTCTACTAGCTTTTCTGCGTTTATAGTGTTTTTAGTGACAAAACTAGAGCAAGCAGACACATCCCCGTCGGCAACCTCCGGCTCCATCATGCAACTGTACTGTATGTACGATCGGTCGGCCAGCTCTAGGCTAGGCGGGCGCAAGCACACACGCAATCATCACTTGCAAGTTGTCGTCTGCTCAGGTAGTCCCCCAGACTACATATGTGATGAGGAATGCCCTTTCACTTGCGGCACCAGTCTTTTCTGTTATGGCTTAAAAGTCCGCCCTCCAGTGATTATAAAATGGTGCCATTTGATTGGCTGAGAACTTTGCGAACTTTCGCTCAAGTTGAAATCATTTCAACTTGAGCGAATCTGATTGCGATGCAATTATTAATCGCAACATTTTGTATATTTCGCCGCGAATTTCGCTGCGGAGCTATTTCGAGGGCTTGGTGACGTCAAATTCGCTTCGCTTTCGCTTTCGCGCCGAGTATGAACCGGGCTTAACAAAGCAGACATAACAGCGTTGAAAGTCAAGTAGGCATAATTAATACACGATTGGACGAAGGCCGGGCAGGGCAATTTACTGCGTCGTGTTCTATTTTTGATTGTGTCTTTTGTATCAACCAATGATCTATCAAGAGACGTCATTGGACCGATTAATCAGGGAACTATAAGAAGAAACTTCACCAGGTTATACTGCATGTACTCATCAGAGCAGTAAACTTCAGACAGTCGGTCCGGTGTTTGCTAGTTCCACACATCCAACCAAGCCACCACATGAATTTCTTACCGTTTTGCCAAAAAAAGGAAATCCAGCATTTCAAAGTTCTTCTTACCATGTGGTTCTGATGTCGCACACTGATATTGCACACAATATATTTTTATTGCACAAAAAAATTATTCATAACAAATTTCTTTGCACAGTTTTTAACACGATGCGAATAGACTGTTGTGTGTGCACTCTCGGTGTCCGAGTTCTATCGATGGTTTCTGCAAAAAGCCTGTAAAATAAACAATGATCGTAACGTTTGAGCAAAGGTCAAGATAATAATCTGTACAATAAAGTCCGAGAAAAAAAAGGAAATTCAAAGGTTATAATAATATTGCACAATCGCTGGCATAAGCAACAAAATAAAGGGCAATCTCTGTCTCTCTTTTTCTAATTGGAGTTCGTAAAACACAGACTTTTAGAATTGTATTAGTCCCACCATAAGTGTTACCCAACGATTATCGAAGAGGTTAAAGCATGTGACTATTCAATACTGTGGCGGGTATATCTGTCACCCGATCCGTAGTCCCTTTACCCAGACAACCTAGCTTGGGATCAGTACCCCAGCAGCCGGGAATGCAGGCCCGTTTGGATGGAAATATACCGCTCTATACGCGTAGCAGCACTCACCCACGCCCCTCAACCTCCAAGATGGACAAGGACAAACAATTAAGTACACAACAGTCAATGACCTCCATTACTGATTAATTTATTTACACAGAATCATGTCATATGCTGGACCTCTAGTAGTAAAGTGTCTTTCCCCAAAACACAAGCATCGTGTCCCCTGTCAGGGTTCGAATCCGCGTACCACGGCACCTGAGTCGAACACCGTTAACATTGGACCACAGCGCTCCACCCTTAAAATACACCCTGAATATGCATGAATATAAAAACCAGACGCTCATTTTTCTGCTGAATCTATAGACCATGCGGACATCGTGGATTCCTAATTACTGATTTTGCGGAAAGAATGAACTGTACTTTCGATTAATTGCACATTGAGAAAAGCAGCGGTATAATGTTGAGGCTTGGGCCGTTTCTGTTTAAAATATCGGGCACTTTGATGGGACCCATGGCATGTTTGCTTAAAAATTACGGATTCTGTTCTATTCATATTATTGTAAACCAGTATTATGCTATCCCTTTTTCACCGTGGGAACCCCATCTATGGCAAAAAGCACTGAGCTACAATCCTGGCCAAATCTCACTGGGCCCCCAACCCCCCATTCAATGTTGTCTCTCCTTGCGCGGTGTGTGCTCCATCAGCTGGAGAGAACAACATTGACCGGGAGACCGGCAGACCGGGGGAGTGAGTAACCGTGGCAGGTTCAGGAAGTGTCCCAACCATTTTGGCCGGGATTGTAGCTATCGTTCTGATAATCCGTCACGGGGAAGTTGCTTTGTACATTAGGGTGCACAATGGTTTCTCCATTGAAGGGGGCCTCAGGAGTGTAAAGTGATCACGTGCCAGGATTCGTCATTAGTTTTGAAATGATATTCGGGACACAATCTCCAAATTCGTATACAGGGTGGGCGAGTTTACACAACATGCACGGCCTGATTAATTCTCCTCCTTACTGGAATAAAAATCAAGGCCGCTAAAGCGCAAACGAAGAGGGTGGCAATGACGAGAAGACTAAGAACGTAGTCACCTGTGACGTCATAGATTGCACCTAGCAAAAAGAAAAGAGAAGAAAATAAGCACTTATTCTAGACAACGCAACATAGTAAAGCTGCTCACTGAATGCACACTATTCTTTTCAATAATTCAGGCTGTGTGTTCACAATGCATGGAGGAGACTGTTCTTGTATCTGTGTACAATGGGCCAGATTTAGCACATTCATTAGCGTTACGGGCTAATCCTATACGACAGCACTGCATGGTGAGTAGGTCAATGAGTGAAAAAAGGTATTACATGTATTACCGAATGGTACTTTTTGTGTCTAATAAACTCTTTCTCTAGTTGAAATAACATGTACACCTATGTGTTGGACCATGAATTACCCGCTAACGGTGCACTGATCAGAACTCCGATTCCAGAGGGAACTAACGTCATAACCATGACACCATTAGTGCCATACTGCTCGTGGAAAAGTTCAGCTGGGGCTGTAAATTGTGTCGCAAAGACGCCTGACCGTAGAACCCCAGAAACTGGAAGCCATAACAAACAAACAAACAAACAAACAAACAAACATAAGACAAACAAACCGAACAATGTGAATCAAACATTCCACGGACGTTATAAAGTTGTGTGACACAGTGTTTAGGCTATATGCCAGAACGAATAATGGAAATGTTTGACCGTTTCGAGAGTTTTCGTTGGAAGACAATATCAGCCAACATGGAGCTGCCTTTAATTGTCTTGACGTGCATTCTATCGTTTTGCTTCATCAGCGAGCGAGTGGCAATTTTTTTTGAAACTCTGTAAAGACGGGTGCTTAACAGGTAACCTGATGGGTAGATGCTGTACATTCTGAGAAAACAATATTCTAGGATCTCGATTTCAATTCAAAAGTTGCACCCCAAATCCGAGCATCCGGAACACGCTCTCAATAACAGAATGCCTACCATTTCTATATGGTCCCTAAGTATCTCGAAGTAGCAATAATTAAGAGATAAGTTGTTGTCTTGGGCTAAAAACCTGAGAACATGCCTTGACTTACCCACTGCAAGAAGCACCATCACACCAAACGTCTTGGCAATTGTCATCAACCCCAGAACGACGGTTCCCAGGAGACATGAGGCCATCAATAGATAAAGATACAAGAAAGGCAGACGATCTCCAATCACGGCTATGAGGAACTTCCCGCCAAGTTCCCCCAAAGCAAAGTACACGATGACGGAGGCAATTTGGTTGCTATCCAGAGCAAGTCCGTGCATCAAACTAGCCTGCAAGAAAAAAAACCCCAAAGTTTACTTTTATATTCAAACTTTGAGCCGGTCAGATCGAGAACGTTGGCTTACCAAAGTTGGGTAGAGACGACCGGGGGGGGGGGAGGTGTTGTACCTCACCGAAAGAAACTGCACAAACCGTATGTACAAACCGTCTATAGACGAGACCTAAATGGCACAAATATCACAAATTGTTCATGTATCAAACTTGGTAATCCCAAACTTATATATTAGTATGTTATAGTTTAGAATTTAACAGTTGATGTGTGGTTATATTATTTTGAGATAGTGGTTCAGAAGTATTACGTTGAAACTTAATTGTACAACTGCATAAATAGATGACTGAGCACCATTGATTCTAACACATAAGGCAAAACCAATCTTCTGTAACATTTTTACTGACGACTTGAGATTACCTTCCACTTACATTCTTCTGAAATTTTACAATTCTGAAAAGAAGCAATATTGAACCTCCTCAAAAACCAAAGCTATTCAACTAAACATGCCCCAAAAGGTTAACAATTTCCCCTACAAAGTCATGTGGATTTGTGGGAAACGTACGTAATTAATATTGAAGAAAGTCCAGCCCGAGTATGAGAAAACCGAAGCCAAGTACCACGCCCAAGCCTCAGGGTTCGTTAAAGCACTAATCAGCCTTCCACGAAAATGTCTCTCAGCTCCAACTTCGAGAGATCCTTGATTTGAAATGTGTGCTTCCTCATTGTTGGTAGTTTTATCGTCAGTTTCTCTTGCTTCATCGTCAGTCCCTTCAATGCAGCCGTCATCATGAACCTGCTTCCCCGGGACCATGCTCTCCAATTCATGTTTCTCAACACCAGGAGATTCATCGGGCGCCCTAGCGTAGTCGTCGGTTGATGGTGGGTCAGCCAGCAGCAGACCGTCAGCTATCCCGATCACGAGTATTCCACCGCTGAGAATTCTCAGCGCATTACGCCATCCGTAGTGAGTTATTAAGGCTGTCAACAAAGGGCTAAAGGCAAGCATACCTGCATATCAGACAGATTAACAGAGCAATTTGCATTTACAATAACATTAAAATCTACAGTAGACTAGAATATAGTACACTATATAGAATAAATCATACAGTTCCTTTCTGTATAAGGTCCACGCCAGTGCATTATGGAGTCAATCATTAACGTTCACGTCTCTACCGACTTTTAATAACTCTAATCGCTAGAAATTGGATCAAACTGCGTTTAGTTCTATAAAAGACAAGGAAAAACTGTGTGTCGACATAGTTGTGGGAAACTATCATCGCATTTACCGGCTGTGGATCCCATTAGAGCGAGGGCGCTTGCCCGCGAGAAGTTCGCCTTGGCAAACCAGTCCAGCAGCAGGGCCAAGGAGGAATTCGTATCTAGGTTGGAGCCCACGCCCGTCAAGATCGAAAACGTGAAGAACATGTATCCCAGCGTTGGCACGGGAACGAATGACGTCGTCAACAGTCCTGCGCAGAAGGCAATCACTCCCAAGATGGCGACAGTACGACTGCTCAGCTTGTTTGTAAGGAGAGAGCAGAGAGGACTAGCAAGACAAGTCAGTGCAATTGACAGAGACCCTAGCCAACCTGAAAGCGAAACAGGCATTATATAAAATAATCCTAAAGCATACTTGTTGTACCTTCACAATAATTCTTTTAGCAGACACTCTTTAATATTTTTACCACTAAAAGAGGAGACACTGTTTTTAAATACAATGTAGATACTACTCGTCCCCTGGTTAGTCTGGAATCGGAAATCTAAAGAAGTCAGGCCCCTGCGACTAACCAATGTTAACATAATGCAAAAAAAATCCCTAAAAATAAACGTCACCACCCTTGCAAACCTTGATTCATCGCTTTACGCACGCAGACTGTTTTTTTGGCAGCGCTTTAGTTTCCAAACGCTGCTTGGCAACGACTGCGAATGCCCCGGCTGTAGCCAGCATCAGACATACCCAAAATCAAGTTCTTATCTCGCTGGATCGTATTTCCGTACTAACCTGTCAACGCCGAGCTGGAATGGAAATCCTCCTGCAGGCTCACAAACAGTATGCTGAAGCTGTACTGGAGTCCACGAGTTAAGACAAACAGACCGAAAGTCGCGAATGTGACGACCCAACGCCACCATCCGCAACGGGACCCTGATGGGCACACCATGTCGTCTGTACCAGCCTCATAATACACATCCGTTACTGTCGCAGCATTTCATTTCGGTCTTCAGTCCTTAGTCCTGTTCAAAAATTTATAAAATGTGTCACTTCCTGAAACCGATACATTCCTGGGAAAACTAGTGTTGTTCCCAGACCAAAAGATTCCGACGTATCTGACGAATATTAAACTTAGGTACAGTAGATGTCAAGGCTGCATGACGAAACAGACATGTAACAGCGTTGAAACTCAAGTATATATATAGACATAATTATTGACATACGATCGGACGAAGGCCGGGTAGGGGAATTTACTGCGTCGTGTTCAATTTTTGAATGTGACGTCTATACCAACCAACCAACCATCTATTAAGAGACGTCATTTGATTAATAATCAGGGAACTAGACTACGAGAAACTTCGCCAGCGTACTACTGCATGTACACATTAAAGCAATAAAAGGACTTCAGGCAGTGAATCCGAGGTTTGCTTGTTCCACACCATCCAACCAAGCCACTACATGAATTTCCTACCGTTTTGCCAAAAAGGAGATCCGGCATTTCAAAGTGCTTCTTACCATGAGTTTCTGATGTCGCTAACTGATGTTGCACAAAATAATTATGCATGACTAATTTCTTTGCACAGTTGTTAACATGATGCGAATAGACTGCTGTGTGTGCACTCTCGGTGTCCGGTTTCTGCATAAAAACCTTTAAAGTAAACAATGAACCTAACGTTTGAGCAAAGGTCAAGATAATACGATAAAGTATGACCCCAAAAAGAGAGAAAATTCAAAGGTTATTCCACAATTGCTGGCATAATCAACAAAATCAAATGCAATTTTTGTCTTTCTTTCTAATAGCAGTTCGTAAAAACACAGACTTGAATTAGTCCCACCGTATCACTCTTAGCGAACGATTATCGAAAAAAATAGGTAATTAGTTATAGCACAGTGCTTTTGCCATTGAAGAGGGTCCCACGGTGATACAAATGATAGCATGATAATTGTTTACGAAACTATGGCTACAACACACTGAAATAAGTTGTGTTTGAATACGTCATTTATAAGCGAACATGCCATGGGCCCCATCAAAGTGTAGACACGGCCCATGCATCAACATTATACCGCTGCTTTTCTCAATGTGCAATTAATCGAAAGTACAATTCCATCTTTCCGCATATTACTTCAGTAATTAAGAATCCACGATGTCCACATGGTCTATAGATTCGGCAGAGAAAAAGAAATGAGTGTTTGGTTTTTATGCACCATATAGTCGGGGTGTATTTTCAGGCTGGAGCGCTGTGGTCCAATGTTTACGCTGTTCGACTCACGTGCCGTGGTACGCGGGTTCGAACCCTGGCGGCGAACATGATGCTTGTGTTCTTGGGCAAGACACTTTACTACAATTGCCGCTCTCCACCCAGGAGTATATATGGGTACATGTAAAGGTAGAGACCAGAATACGCTCATCTGCAGAAACTGGTCTCGTGGCCTGCCGAACAGGGGTAATAATGGTGAAGCGCTTTGAGGCCTAACGTATAAAGCGCTATATAAGCGCCACATTATTATTATTATTTTAGCGATCTTTAGGATTTCCGATTTAGATTTTTGAGTGTCTTGATTATTAAACGCAGGCCTCCTAATAAGAATTGGTATCTTTTTGAGTGGATTTATTGTTGTTGACCTGTGTTGTGGATCATGCAGTAGTTGGACTCGATCGGCAATAGAATTCAAAACCCACATGAGACTTTTAAAGTTTCCCTCCTGGAAATTTGACTTGCTCTTTGTGTGGGGGCCGCTGGAGTGTGATGTGAGAATAAATAAATAAACACACCAACACCCGGGTTCGAGTCACTCCTTTAACTCACCTGCTGTTTAAAACGGGTCACAAATGGTCAAAAATTTCTTCCACTTCCCCACTTTTAACAAACCAATGAGTCACTTGACCAATATTGACCTAAGTAACAGCATGGCTCAGAATGCATGTTTCCATAGCATATAGGACGGTTTTATTCTGTTAAAAGCGAGCGGTGCGCAGGCCAGCCGCAAGGGAGACAGCACGTTGGGGAAACAATTAAACAATTAAAAACAAGGACAGAAAAGGGAGAAAAACGAAACGAAAACCATAAAATGTAACATCGTTCCCGAGGGGGACCCGATTGAACATAAATTATAAATATCTAGGAGAGTATTTCACTTACGAGAAAGAATTGTCGAGGTGTAAGAGCACAATACCCACCCTAACTGTACATTTCTTCAAGAAACACATACATTTCATTGTAAAAATCCAAATTATCTAAATTGACAGTGATAACAGGGAATTAATTCAGTCTGTCTTTAAACAGTCATAAGTTAAGCTATACAGTAAAAGTAAAGACCGTGAATCAATTACAAACTGTAGCAAGGGATTTCTCTCTAAAGACAATAATTATTTCAGAGATTAAATCCAATTCATCGAAATTCTGAGATTATTTTGTGTCACTCATAATCTGTGAATTTATCAGCTAAATACATTGTTACTGACCTAGAGATTTAATGTACTTTGATTTTACACACAAAAATAATCGATTTAACTGCAGTTGAAACCTTTGACCAGTAATTATGATGAAAACACCGTGATTCAAAGCGACTTGTCAAATAAACTTTCTCAATGTGAACGCAAGAGGGCCTCCATCAAATTTCATGAGCAACGGAGAGCTGAACGAAAATCCTAAATTACGCCAAGTTTCATAACAAAACTTGATCTCTCTACTTCATTATATTGTGACAGAGTCCCTAATATGTTGAAATATTGCTGGTTCATGAATGAGGATTCGATGATCATCAAGGAAAATGTTTATATGATAAAAGCAAGCGGTGCGCAGCCTGGGCCAGCGGCAAGGGAGAATGCACATTGGGGAATGGTGTAATCACCGCTTGCTGGCGCTGTCAAGGGGGAGGGGGGGGGATAAGAAGGGCCTGGACTTTTTACTATACCTTATAGTCATGATCAAAATTTGATCACTTCATTTGCCGATTCCCATCGCGCGTTCGGGAAGTAAACATGACACGCGCCCATGTCAAGGGCGGATCCAGAACGCAATTTTTTTTGGGGTCCAAAAAATTACGGCGTGGGGTTCGGGGCCCGCTTAAGGGCCCCGAAATATTTTTGGATTCTAGATGTTCTGTGGTGCGATCTGAGGCAATTTCTGACCACTTTAACCAATGTTTTTTTGAGGAAAAGATGGTGGTGTACTCATTGCCTGCCTTTATGCGATGTCACATAAAAAAAGAAAAATTGGTTTCGTTTTTTTTTTTGGGGGGGGGGCCATGGCCCCCTTTGGCCCCCCCCGGATCCGCCCTTGCCTGGGTACATACACGTATACTGTAGTGGAGACCAGCTAACTAAAATAATTTCAAGAATTTTATATAATAAACAGATAGTTCATTTTGTGTTCATTCTTTTTTGCAAGGAACGATCTAAGAGGGAAACTTTTAGTCTCCTGTGGTTTTTAATTCTATTTCCGAGACCAACTACTACATGATCCACAACAGATCCAGCCAACAACAATAAATCCACTCAAAAGATACCAATTCTTATTAGGTCTACGTTTAATAATCAAGGCAGTCAACAAATCCAAATCGGAAATCATAAAAAAAGATCGCTAAAATGATAACAGTAATGTAGTGCTTATATAGCGCTTTATACCAAAGGTCTCAAACGCTTCAACAATATTACCTCTGTTCGAGGCTCATTTCTCTGCCGAATCTATAGACCATGCGGACATCGTGGATTCCTAATTACTGAAATAATTTTGCGGAAAGAATGAACTGTACTTTCGATTAATTGCACATTGAGAAAAGCAGCGGTATAATGTTGAGGCTTGGGCCGTTTCTGTTTAAAATATCGGGCACTTTGATGGGACCCATGGCATGTTTGCTTAAAAATTACGGATTCTGTTCTATTCATATTATCGTAAACCATTATTATGCCATTCCTTTTTTCACCGTGGGAACCCGAGCTATGGCAAAAGCACTGAGCTACAATCCTGGCCAAATCTTACTGGGCCCCCAACCCCCCGTTCAATGTTGTCTCTCATTGCGCGGTGTGTGCTCCATCAGCTGGAACCCCAGCTATGGCAAAAGCACTGAGCTACAATCCTGGCCAAATCTCGCTGGACCCCCCCCCCCCCCGTTCAATGTTGTCTCTCATTGCACGGTGTGTGCTCCATCAGCTGGAACCCCAGCTATGGCAAAAGCACTGAGCTACAATCTTGGCCAAATCTCACTGCCCCCCCCCCCTTCAATGTTGTCTCTCATTGCGCGTTGTGTGCTCCATCAGCTGGAGAGAACAACATTGACCGGGGGAGCGGGGGAGTGGGTGACCGTGGCAGGCTCAGGAAGTGTCCCAACCATTTTGGCCGGGATTGTAGCTATCGTTCTGATAATCCGTCACGGGGAAGTTACTTTGTACATTAGGGTGCACAATAGTTTCTCCATTGAAGGGGGCCTCGGGAGTGTACAGTGATGACGTGCCAGGATTCGTTATTATTTTTGAAACGAAATTCGGGACACAATCTCCAAATTCGTATAGAGGGTGGGCGTGTTTACACAACATGCACGGCCTGATTAATTCTCCTCCTTACTGGAATAAAAATCAAGGCCGCTGAAGCGCAAAGGAAGAGGGCGGCAATGACAAGAAGACTAAGAACGTAGTCACCTGTGACGTCATAGATTGCACCTAGCAAAAAGAAAAGAGAAGAAAATAAGCACTTATGCTAGACAACGCAACATAGTAAAGCTGCTCACTGAATGCACACAATTCTTTTCAATAATTCAGGCTGTGTGTTCACACTGCATGGAGGAGACTGTTCTTGTATCTGTGTACAATGGGCCAGATTTAGCACATTCACCGGCGTAACAGGGTAATCCTATACGACAGAACTGCCTGGTGAGTAGGTCAATGAGTAAAAAAAGGTATTGCATGTATTACCGCATGGTACTTTTTGTGTCTTATAAACTCTTTCTCTAGTTGAAATAACATGTACATCATGTGTTGGACGTATTTACCCGCTAACGGTGCACTGATCAGAATTCCGATTCCGGAGGGAACTAACGACATTACCATGACACCGTTAGTGCCATACTGCTCGTGGAAAAGTTCAGCTGCGGCTGTAAATTGTGTCCCAAAGACGCCTGACCGTAGAACCCCGGAAACTGGAAGCCATAACAAACAAACAAGCATAAGACAAACAAACCGAACAATGTTAATCAAACATTCCACGGACGTTATGAAGTTGTGTGACACAGTGTTTATGCTATATATATGCCAGAACGAATAATGGAAATGTTTGACCGCTTCGAGACTTTTCGTTGGAAGACAATATCAGCCAACATGGAGCGGCCTTTAATTGTCTTGATGTGCATTCTATGTTTTGCTTCATCAGCGAGCGAGTGGCAATTTTTTTGAAACTCTGTAAAGACGGGTGCTTAACAGGTAACCTGATGGGTAGATGCTGTACATTCTGAGAAAACAATATTCTAGGATCTCGATTTCAATTCAGAAGTTTCACCCCAAATCCGAGCATCCGGAACACGCTCTCAATAACAGAATGCCTACCATTTCCATATGGTCCCTAAGTATCTCGAAGTAGCAATAATTAAGAGATAAGCTGTTGTCTTGCACTAAAAACCTGAGTACATACCTTGACTTACCCACTGCAAGAAGCGCCATCACACCAAACGTCTTGGCAATGGTCAGAAACCCCAGAACGACGGTTCCCAGGAGACATGAGGCCACCAATAGATAAAGATACAAGAAAGGCAGACGATCTCCAATTACGGCTATCAGGACCTTCCCGCCAAGTTCCCCCAAAGCAAAGTACACGATGACGGAGGCAATGCTGTTGCTGTCCAGACCAAGTCCGTCCATAAAACTAGCCTGCAGGAACCAAAGCAATTTTGTTTTGTTGTTGTGCGTTCGAGAAACATTACCCCTCACCAAAAGAAAGGAAAAATAAACCAAATTTATGTTTGTGGACAAACACAGGGCTGTTTCGGCAATATTTTGTTGTATTTTTTATGTTATGTTATACAATGATAGAAAAATGCAATAGAAAAATGCAGAGTGGTCAGAGCCAATTGTAATTTTCTATTTAAAACATCGTTGAAAGCAGGAGCATATCTTTTACCAATTTCATATTGCAAGGCAATTTAAGACATCACCAGTATTTTTTGTAATTTACAATCTAGCAAGAGGCTAACATCGTTGAAAGCAAGTTCACATGTTTTTCTACTTTCAAATTATAAGGCACTTCCGGTTACGGAGAAAAACATGGAAAAAACGTACACATATTACAAAAAGTATGTCAAACATGGTAATCTCAAGAGATGGTGGTTTAGAAGCTTTACGTTGATTCTTAATCAACATCATTAGCAGATGAATGAGCACCATTGATTCCCACACACGGCAAAAAAACATGTTTTCTGTTCAATTTCAACTGACGACTTGAGATAACATTCCAGTTATATTTGTCTTGAATTGTATAATTCTGATCAGAAACAATACTGGACCTCAATTACCACAGCTATAAAACCAAAGCTCCTTAGAAAAAGGCAACATTTTCCCTAATATTTGGATTTTTGGGAAACGTACGTAATTAGTATTGAAGAAAGTCCAGCCCACGAATGAGAAAACCGCAGCCAAGTACCACGCCCAAGCATCAGGGTTCGTTAAAGCACTAATCAGTCTTCCACGAAAATGTCTCTCTTCTCCAACTTCGAGAGATCCTTGATTTGAAATGTGTGCTTCCTCATTGTTGGTACTTTTTTCGTCAGTTTCTCTTGCTTCATCGTCAGTCTCTTCAATGCAGCCGTCATCATGAACCTGCTTTCCCGGGACCATGCTCTCCAATTCATGTTTCTCGTCACCAGGAGACTCATCGGGCGCCCTAGCGTAGTCCTCGGTTGATGGTGGGTCAGCCAGCAGCAGACCGTCAGCTATCCCGATCACGAGTATTCCACCGCTGAGAATTCTCAGCGCATTACGCCATCCGTAGTGAGTTATTAAGGCTGTCAACAGAGGGCTAAAGGCAAGCATACCTGCATATCAGACAGATTAACAAAGAAAATTGCCATTAAAATGAAATATAAATTAGTCTAGTAGACTAGAATATACTAGTGCATTATTTAAATGAGTCAAACAATCATTAACGCTCTTATCTTTAATAATCTTAAACACTCTCATCGCTAGAAATTGGATTCGTTCTTTAGAAGACAAGGAAAAACTGTGTATGTCTACAAGGGCGGATCCAGGGGGGGGGGCCCATGGCCCCCCCCCCAAAACGAAACCAATTTTTTTTTTTTTTAAGTGACATCGCAATAAAGGCAGGCAATGAGTACACCACCATCTTTTCCTCAAAAAAACATTGGTTAAAGTGGTCAGAAATTGCCTCAGATCGCACCACAGAGCATCTAGAATCCAAAAAAAATTCGGGGCCCTTTAGCGGGCCCCGAACCCCACGCCGTAATTTTTTGACCCACTTTTTTGGGGGACCAAAATTTTTTTTGGCCCCCCAAAAAATTGTGTTCTGGATCCGCCCTTGTATGTCTACATAGTTGTGGGAAACTATCTTCAAATTTACCGGCTGTGGATCCCATTAGAGCGAGGGCACTCGCCCGCGAGAAGTTCGCCTTGGCAAACCAGTCAAGCAGGAGGGCCAAGGAGGCATTCGTGGCCAGGTTGGCGCCCACGCCCGTCAAGATCGAAAACGTGAAGAACGCGTATCCCAGCGATGGCACGGGAACGAATGACGTCGTCAACAGTCCTGCGCAGAAGGCAATCACCCCCAAGATGGCGACGGTTCGACTGCTCAGCTTGTGTGTAAGGAGAGAGCATAAAGGACTAGCAATGCAAGCCAGTGCAAGTGACAAAGACCCTAGCCAACCTGAAAGCGAAACAGACATAACAATGATAAAATAACCCCGAAGTATACTTTTAATCTTTATAGCAATCATTCTGTTAGTAGGCCTAGACACTTTTAAATAATTTTACCACTTCAAGAGGAGAGACTGTTTTTAAATACAATGTAGATGCTACTCGTCCCCTGGTTTAATAGTCTGGAATCGGGAATCTAAACAAATCTAGGCCCCTGCGACTGCCCAATGTTAACATAATGCAAATTAACATAAAGCAAAAACTCTTTCATGAAGTTCCCTGAGTAACGTCATCACTCTGTCTTGCAGACCTTCATTCACCGCTTTAAGCATGCGGTCTTTTTATGACAGACCTAAGCTTCCAAACGGCTTGCCAACGACCACGAACGGTCCGGCTGTAGCCGGCATCAGGCAAACCCAAATCAAGTTATCATCTCGCTGGATCGTATTTCCGTACGAACCTGTCAACGCCGAGCTGGAATGGAAATCCTCCTGCAGGCTCACAAACAGTATGCTGAAGTTGAACAGGGGTCCGAGAGTTAAGAAAAACTGACCGAAAGTCGCGAATGTGACGACCCAACGCCACCATCCGCAACGGGACCCTGATGGGCACACCATGTCGGCTGTACCAGCCTCAGAATACGCATCCGTTACTGTCGCAGCATTTCATTCCGGCCTTCAGTCCTTCCTGTTCAAAAAATCATACAATTGGTTACTTCCTGAAACCGATGAATTCTTGAGAAAACTTAGTGTTGTTCCCAGACCACTTGAGATTCCGCCATATCTGACAAATAATTTGTAGATGTCAATGTCGCATGACCAAACAGACACGGAACAGCGTTGAAACTCAAGTACACGATCGGACGAGAACAGGGCGATTTACTGTGTCGTGCTCTATTTTTGAATGTGACGTCTACACCAACAAATGATCTATAAAAGACGTCATTGGATCGTTCTCATAAGAGCAATGAAAAGACTTCAGGCAGTCAATCCGGTGTTTGCTCGTCACGGTTCCACACCATAAAACCAAGCCACTACATGAATTTCTTACCGTTTTGCCAAAAGGGGAATTCACGCTGTTCAAAGTCTTCTTAACATGAGTTTCTAATGTCGCACATCGATGTTGCACAATACAATTCACAACAAATGTCTTTGCAGTGTTATTATGATGCGAAAAGACAGTGTGTGCCCTCTCGGTGTCCGGGTTCTATCGATGGTTTCTGCAAAAAGCCTTTTAAAATAAACAATTGTAGCGTTTGAGCAAAGGTCAAGATAATAATCAGCGCGATAAAGTGTATATTTGTATTAGTCCCGCCAAATAACAATAAAAATGGATTGGTGGCTTACCTGGCCGCCGATAAAAAAAGTGACCGAGCCTATCGGAGTCGGGACATCGTTGTTTGAACTCTGATCGGTGTTAAAAGTCTACCCACGTGGCGGGCTATTGGCCAACAGGAATGGGTAAACTGTCTCAGGTATTTTAATATGAAATAATTAAAGTGAGGAAGGAATATTTCTCAAAAGACGTGAAGCCTATCTTGGGTTTGTGTTGTGGAGAACAAGGCATTAGATATGCATGCAATGGACCAAACAGAAGATGGGATATGAATGTCGCTTGGGATAAAAAAGATTCGCGGGCCAGCCAGGCCTTCTTATCCCCCCCCCCCCCCCCCAACCCATTTCGTTTCCGAAGCCACCTGGGTACATACACATATACTGTAGTGGAGACCAGCTAACTAAAATAATTTCAAGAATTTTATATAATAAACAAAGTTCATTCAGTGTTAATTCTGTTTTGCAAGGAACGATCTAAGGGGGAAACTTTAAGTCTCCTGTGGTTTTTAATTCTATTTCCGAGTCCAACTACTGCATGATCCACAACAGATCCAGCCAACAACACTAAATCCACTCAAAAGATACCAATTCTCATTAGGAGGTCCACGTTTAATAATCAAGGCAGTCAAGAAATCCAAATCGGAAATCATAAAAAAAGATCGCTAAAATGATAACAGTAATGTGGTGCTGATATATAGCGCTTTATACCAAAGGTCTCAAAGCGCTTCAACAATATTACCTCTGTTCGTCAGGCCACGAGACCAGTTTTTGCAGCAGCTGGAGCTGAGCGTATTCTGGTCTCTACCTTCACCGGTACTCATAATATACTCCTGGGTGGAGAAAGGCAATAGTAGTAAAGTGTCTTGCCCCAAAACACAAGCATCATGTTCCCCGTCAGGGGTCGAATCCGCGTACCACGGCACCTGAGTCGAACACCGTTAACATTGGACCACAGCGCTCCACCCTTAAAATACACCCTGAATATGCATGAATATAAAAACCAGACGCTCATTTTTCTGCTGAATCTATAGACCATGCGGATATCGTGGATTCCTAATTACTGATTGTGCGGAAAGAATGAACTGTACTTTCGATTAATTGCACATTGAGAAAAGCAGCGGTATAATGTTGAGGCTTGGGCCGTTTCTGTTTAAAATATCGGGCACTTTGATGGGACCCATGGCATGTTTGCTTAAAAATTACGGATTCTGTTCTATTCATATTATCGTAAACCATTATTATGCTATCCCTTTTTCACCGTGGGAACCCCAGCTATGGCAAAAAGCACTGAGCTACAATCCTGGCCAAATCTCGCTGGACCCCCCCCGTTCAATGTTGTCTCTCATTGTACGGTGTGTGCTCCATCAGCTGGAACCCCAGCTATGGCAAAAGCACTGAGCTACAATCCTGGCCAAATCTCACTGCCCCCCCCCCCCCGTTCAATGTTGTCTCTCATTGCGCGTTGTGTGCTCCATCAGCTGGAGAGAACAACATTGACCGGGGAGCGGGGGAGTGGGTGACCGTGGCAGGCTCAGGAAGTGTCCCAACCATTTTGGCCGGGATTGTAGCTATCGTTCTGATAATCCGTCACGGGGAAGTTACTTTGTACATTAGGGTGCACAATAGTTTCTCCATTGAAGGGGGCCTCGGGAGTGTACAGTGATGACGTGCCAGGATTCGTTATTATTTTTGAAACGAAATTCGGGACACAATCTCCAAATTCGTATAGAGGGTGGGCGAGTTTACACAACATGCACGGCCTGATTAATTCTCCTCCTTACTGGAATAAAAATCAAGGCCGCTAAAGCGCAAACGAAGAGGGCGGCAATGACAAGAAGACTAAGAACGTAGTCACCTGTGACGTCATAGATTGCACCTAGCAAAAAGAAAAGAGAAGAAAATAAGCACTTATGCTAGACAACGTAACATAGTAAAGCTGCTCACTGAATGCACACAATTCTTTTCAATAATTCAGGCTGTGTGTTCACACTGCATGGAGGAGACTGTTCTTGTATCTGTGTACAATGGGCCAGATTTAGCACATTCACCGGCGTTACAGGGTAATCCTATACGACAGCACTGCCTGGTGAGTAGGTCAATGAGTGAAAAAAAGGTATTACATGTATTACCGAATGGTACTTTTTGTGTCTAATAAACTCTTTCTCTAGTTGAAATAACATGTACACCTATGTGTTGGACCTTGAATTACCCGCTAACGGTGCACTGATCAGAACTCCGATTCCAGAGGGAACTAACGTCATAACCATGACACCATTAGTGCCATACTGCTCGTGGAAAAGTTCAGCTGGGGCTGTAAATTGTGTCGCAAAGACGCCTGACCGTAGAACCCCAGAAACTAGAAGCCATAACAAACAAACAAACAAACAAACAAACATAAGACAAACAAACCGAACAATGTGAATCAAACATTCCACGGACGTTATAAAGTTGTGTGACACAGTGTTTAGGCTATATGCCAGAACGAATAATGGAAATGTTTGACCGTTTCGAGACTTTTCGTTGGAAGACAATATCAGCCAACATGGAGCTGCCTTTAATTGTCTTGATGTGCATTCTATCGTTTTGCTTCATCAGCGAGCGAGTGGCAATTTTTTTTTTGAAACTCTGTAAAGACGGGTGCTTAACAGGTAACCTGATGGGTATATGCTGTACATTCCGAGAAAACAATATTCTAGGATCTCGATTTCAATTCAAAAGTTGCACCCCAAATCCGAGCATCCGGAACACGCTCTCAATAACAGAATGCCTACCATTTCTATATGGTCCCTAAGTATCTCGAAGTAGCAATAATTAAGAGATAAGTTGTTGTCTTGGGCTAAAAACCTGAGAACATGCCTTGATTTACCCACTGCAAGAAGCACCATCACACCAAACGTCTTGGCAATTGTCATCAACCCCAGAACGACGGTTCCCAGGAGACATGAGGCCATCAATAGATAAAGATACAAGAAAGGCAGACGATCTCCAATCACGGCTATGAGGAACTTCCCGCCAAGTTCCGCCAAAGCAAAGTACACGATGACGGAGGCAATTTGGTTGCTATCCAGAGCAAGTCCGTGCATCAAACTAGCCTGCAAGAAAAAAAAACCCAAAGTTTACTTTTATATTCGAACTTTGAGCCGATCAGATCGAGAACGTTGGCTTACCAAAGTTGGGTAGAGACGACGGGGGGGGGGGGGGGGGAAGGTGTTGTACCTCACCGAAAGAAACTGCACAAACCGTATGTACAAACCGTCTATAGACGAGACCTAAATGGCACAAATATTACAAATTGTTCATGTATCAAACTTGGTAATCCCAAACTTATAGATTAGTATGTTATAGTTTAGAATTTAACAGTTGATGTGTGGTTATATTATTTTGAGATGGTGGTTCAGAAGTATTACGTTGATACTTAATTGTACAACTGCATAAATAGATGACTGAGCACCATTGATTCTAACACATAAGGCAAAACCAATCTTCTGTAACATTTTTACTGACGACTTGAGATTACCTTCCAGTTACATTCTTCTGAAATTTTACAATTCTGAAAAGAAGCAATATTGAACCTCCTCAAAAACCAAAGCTATTCAACTAAACATGCCCCAAAAGGTTAAAAATTTCCCCTACATGTGGATTTGTGGGAAACGTACGTAATTAATATTGAAGAAAGTCCAGCCCGAGTATGAGAAAACCGAAGCCAAGTACCACGCCCAAGCCTCAGGGTTCGTTAAAGCACTAATCAGCCTTCCACGAAAATGTCTCTCAGCTCCAACTTCGAGAGATCCTTGATTTGAAATGTGTGCTTCCTCATTGTTGGTAGTTTTATCGTCAGTTTCTCTTGCTTCATCGTCAGTCCCTTCAATGCAGCCGTCATCATGAACCTGCTTCCCCTGGACCATGCTCTCCAATTCATGTTTCTCAACACCAGGAGATTCATCGGGCGCCCTAGCGTAGTCGTCGGTTGATGGTGGGTCAGCCAGCAGCAGACCGTCAGCTATCCCGATCACGAGTATTCCACCGCTGAGAATTCTCAGCGCATTACGCCATCCGTAGTGAGTTATTAAGGCTGTCAACAAAGGGCTAAAGGCAAGCATACCTGCATATCAGACAGATTAACAGAGCAATTTGCAATTACAATAACATTAAAATAGTCTACAGTAGACTAGAATATAGTACACTATATAGAATAAATCATACAGTTCCTTTCTGTATAAGGTCCACGCCAGTGCATTATGGAGTCAATCATTAACGTTCACGTCTCTACCGACTTTTAATAACTCTAATCGCTAGAAATTGGATCAAACTGCGTTTAGTTCTATAAAAGACAAGGAAAAACTGTGTGTCTACATAGTTGTGGGAAACTATCATCGCATTTACCGGCTGTGGATCCCATTAGAGCGAGGGCGCTTGCCCGCGAGAAGTTCGCCTTGGCAAACCAGTCCAGCAGCAGGGCCAAGGAGGAATTCGTAGCTAGGTTGGAGCCCACGCCCGTCAAGATCGAAAACGTGAAGAACATGTATCCCAGCGTTGGCACGGGAACGAATGACGTCGTCAACAGTCCTGCGCAGAAGGCAATCACTCCCAAGATGGCGACGGTACGACTGCTCAGCTTGTTTGTAAGGAGAGAGCAGAGAGGACTAGCAAGACAAGTCAGTGCAATTGACAGAGACCCTAGCCAACCTGAAAGCGAAACAGGCATTATATAAAATAATCCTAAAGCATACTTGTTGTACCTTCACAATAATTCTTTTAGCAGACACTCTTTAATATTTTTACCACTAAAAGAGGAGACACTGTTTTTAAATACAATGTAGATGCTACTCGTCCCCTGGTTAGTCTGGAATCGGAAATCTAAAGAAGTCAGGCCCCTGCGACTAACCAATGTTAACATAATGCAAAAAAAATCCCTAAATATAAACGTCACCAACCTTGCAAACCTTGATTCATCGCTTTACGCACGCAGACTGTTTTTTTGGCAGCGCTTTAGTTTCCAAACGCTGCTTGGCAACGACTGCGAATGCCCCGGCTGTAGCCAGCATCAGACATACCCAAATCGAGTTCTCATCTCGCTGGATCGTATTTCCGTACTAACCTGTCAACGCCGAGCTGGAATGGAAATCCTCCTGCAGGCTCACAAACAGTATGCTGAAGCTGTACTGGAGTCCACGAGTTAAGACAAACAGACCGAAAGTCGCGAATGTGACGACCCAACGCCACCATCCGCAACGGGACCCTGATGGGCACACCATGTCGTCTGTACCAGCCTCAGAATACACATCCGTT